TCCGTTTAAAAAACGAGGTCGAACTCATGATTTATATCCGGTGCAAGATTTTGATCAACCAGAATGACGCGAAACCAGGTATGTTAACCGTACGATTATGCATTCAAAATAAATAGTGTGTGCATTTAAGTAATCTTCGATTTTACCACTTACCTTACAATTCAAAATTCCATCTTCTTATTTTTCTTCAATTCTTCATTATTTACAGGAGGATGTTACTTTAACAATACATATTCATATTACATCTATGCGTTATAGACTCGGTAAAATCTATCAAATAATTTATTAATTACTAAAATAGTTATTGTTAATAACTAAAATTGAAAATAAGTTATACCAACATATTTAAAATAACATAAAAGATATTATAATAAATATTGATAATTAATCAATAGATGTTATAGAAGAGACTTGACGTTTATTTCAAGCTTCTACAATTATCTGTATTTTATTTTACTTCTTTAGCTTGTATTAGGTTGAAAATAATTAATACTAAATAGTATCTTTTCATATAACAAAAACTATATAATATGTACGTTGTTACTCTCCTACCGCACTGACAATGAGTGCCCTCCTTCTCGTTTTTATTTTTAAACACTATTTATATCAAATAAATAACTTATTTCGACATATATTTATGTATTTATTTCGGACAATAATAGTTATCTCTATCCAAAAGGAAAGAGAATTCGTAATAAAATATTTATTTCTTCAACATCTTGATTATAGAGCGTTACTTTTTACGCATGGATGTTCTTAATATTAATTTCTTACGAATCAAGCCTATTTTAATTTTTGAAACTAATTTTGAAATACTTTAAATAATCTTTATATGTATTAATCTTCGATTACATTATTCTTTGAAATATAATAAAATATTTTGAAATTGTTAATTTATATACCACGAAAGCATAGAAATATAATTTTTAAAACCCGTTTTATTTTCTTTGAGAATTTTTATTTGAAAAAAACCACTACAACATATGTATTTTGAACATGTGAAATAATATTTCGAAACAAGTATTTTATTTATTATTTTGTAAATGACTAAATACTCGAGTCGTTTATTTAAAAGAATACAAGTATGCTAAAAGAAATGTATCAGTCCGCACAAAAGAGAAAATCAAATTTATTCCGAAGTTATCTTAAAAAAACGAAATGAAAGAAATTTTTATGTCATTCTATATGTCGGGTTTACATTAGAATTAGAGTTAGGGGCGTGAAACGAATCTTCGTTCGGATTACACGTTGTCGTTATGCGGTAGAGAAGACATTGACTAGTGCAAATACGATTATAGAATTAGACAAGTAACCGCGGTAATTAGATACTCGAGAAACTAATGACAATGATCCTAGGTTCAATAAAGAATCCGCGGTCAACGGGATGATAGATGAACATGCTCACGATATCTAAGTCGGACTCTTTGTTAAAACGCGGAATATCCACCGAGCGTACAGACGCTAAGTAACTCGCTAATACGACCTCACGAGAGGAACGAGAATGTCTTTCCCGTCCCGATGATGCCACAGAGGCAAACTATAATGGGGTGTGTCTAAGGACACGAGATCATCGGATTCGTCGAGGATAGTAGCCTTCGTTCAGAAAGTGAGGGAAATTGACGTTGCTGATAATTGGTCAATTTCCATGTTGGTGGTTAGAAAAAGATGCTAGCCGCCCTCGAGGGAAAGCTGTACGTGTAGTGCGGCAACGCATCGACATCTGGCAATCATCTTACTCGAAGAATAGGATTTGCGTGTGGCAAACCACAGGACAGAAACCGTTGAAATATTTACTATCGAGTGCCGCTACAACTATTTCTTTTTAAGGAGAGCTATACTATTACTCCATACCTTTGTTAGATAAAACGTTCATCCCTTGACCGCGACTACGTTCGGCGACTGGCTGTCGCTTCGAGCCCAAGCTCATTATCACAAATCTCGAACAAATACAATCGGATCGAATGACGGCAATTGTTTAATTACGCCTATGATAGAATCTAGATTACGGTGTTAAGGGATTTTCCCGAAGTTCCAAAGGGAAGGCTCCGATGTCCTTTCATCTCCACATATAAAACATATATAAAACAAATAAATACAATTTCCTTCTTAATATCATTTCACAATATATTAATTAATATCTATATATTTTAATTTTGAATAACACTTACCTTAGAAATTCTCATTATAGAATATTTCAATATTCTCAAATATTTGATTATATTGAAGTATATCAGGTTATGCAAAGTATAAAATGAAATCTACGTGAATGTTTAAATAATTCATAACTCAGACATTTTCAAATATAAGTTACTATTATAAAATTACAATTACAAAATTCTACTAAAATACATATTACAACACTACTTTAATTGATTACTTTAAAAATAATAAATTCGAGTTTTCCTTCATCATTCATATATCTCAATTTTAAAAAATACCAATAAATCAATATAATAGAACTTATAAAAAGGAAAACAAACATAACGTGCAGTAGTTTGCAAATGTAATAATCGTATATTTGTTCTAATTTAATACTTCTTTGGCACAATACGCATCAGAAGGTACCTCGATCTGTAGAAATATCGAATGACCAACAGAATAATCTACAAATTCGTTTAACTTTTGGAGAAACAACATGGAATTCGTCGACCTTCTAATTCCTACCACAAGATTCATATCGAATAAAACGTAGGCAACAATTTTCACAGAATTTGATTTATTCGTCTAAGCACAGGTGTAGCTTGATTGTAAGCGTATAGGTTTGTAGTTTGATTAAAAGAGAATTAAATATCACTTAAAAATGTAAAAATTTCACATTTTAAGAAAGTGCTCAAATCTTTTGTACCAATTCATTTGGAAAATAACATTTAATTAAATTAAAAAATTATTATTTAATTAATCTATAATTATTTTTTAAATACTTTTTAATTATTTTTAATCGTCATTCATGTTATGTTACTTTCTTTTAATAAGTTAATTTTTTCATCCATACTTTTTTGATAATTTATATTTTCGATATTTTACGAAACTTTTCTTTTTGAACAAATATCTAACGACATTTTGAAATTGACAACAAAATTAAAAGTATAAATTATTAATATTATAGTAAAGCTACTGACAATAATAACGTGATGTCAAAGAACTCTTCCATTCAATTCAAAGTTTCGTAATATATCTAAAATAGAATAGATCAAAGAATTTCACATTAAACAGACATGTATACACATTGATACTATCTTATTAGTTGTTATTATTTTTCACAGAATACAAGATTTTGAACAAATTAATCCTGCTGCAATTTTATAATAATCAATTATATCTTGATCTCGATTCAATTTCAACCGAAACTGCTTTTGAAAAATCCTTAGCGACAGCGAAATTTAAATCATTCTACACAACGAAGAATTTAATTGACATTTTGAGTCCAATATTGGTCTTCAAATATTTTTAATTTAATAAATGTTCTAGTTTTTGACAATCATTTAATATTCTGCAAATGACTCTCCAAAATAAAAATAATTTGAATTAAAAATAATTGTAAAAACGTTGGACAGTAAAAAATATGCTTAAAGGCGATGTTTCTCTAACAACGTATTTTTAGGAAATATGGAGCTACATTGAAATATTATTCGTTAAGTATCTCATTCTACACGAGAATAAAGAATATTTTATCATCTTGTTTAAATTATTTAATTATTTATATACAGAGTAATTAAATTAATCGTGTAATTTTGATTGTTATAAGAAAAGACATTTCAGAGAAATGTCACATGATACACATTTCATATAAAAAATCAGAGTTATAAGTTATGTGATGACTTAAAATTAGGTGAATTATCCTGTATAATAGGAATGTTAAAAAAGCAAGTATCTTACACTTTAAAAATTTACGATATCTACTAAAAAGAATAAAAAATGTTCAATCAACATTGGTTCTAAAATCAATACTTGTAGATAGCATAGAATATAATCTTAGCCCCCAAACTTAGTTTACTGAATTCTATTAATTTAATCAACTACATTATTTAATAACGTAGTTGTGAATTATAAAAGTAGAAAATGTGTATATATCTATCAAACAAGATAACACAATATTGAATATAAATGAAAAACAAATCAAACGTCTCTTTGAAGTAAATAACAAAATGTTACGGTTGGCTATGATATTTTATTGATATTGGTGGTATCTTTCTTTAAACTTCAATTTCGATAAATATTTCTGTTTACGTATGAATTTTATTATTAAATTTTATTAAATTTGATTTATATAATAAATTTTAATAATAGTATTACCACGAGACGTAAGTACCTAAATTGTTTGAAAATATAAAATTACGTTTTTGTTGAAAAAGTTAATTATAGATTCAATATTGATTAAGCATCTTTTATTCCGCTTAATAAATATTGTAAGTTTTTAAAATTTCAGATCATTATTTTTTTGTACTCTGTATATAAATGTAATACATATATAATGTACAAGAAATTTTATCTCGTTTGTTGGAGTAAATAAAACACGTATAGTAATCAGAAGAAAAATACGAAAGGATAAATAAAAACGGTGGGAATGCAATCGTTTCCGAGAGTAATCATCGTGACCAAATGTTATAACACAGAAATTATATAATAACATACATAACACTGTATTAAAATCATATCGAACAAAAAAATACTGGAATAATAAACAAGCAAGGTTCATGAACCTTCTGCAAACATTAAACAGAAACTATTTTTCCCAAATTAATTTATTTTTTCAAATCAATCATTCATTCTTCCAATTTTTAGTTATTTCATATTAAGTAGATAAAAGAAAAAATGTTGAATGAAATTGAATATTAAATTTTAAAGATATTCAAAATACTAAGAACACAGAGTATCCCAGCTATCGTAGTACAATCAACAAATGCGTGATTCTACGTAAAAAATAACTCGAAGATATAAAATAAAAGTTTTTCATACGGAATTTTCATTTTTAATAAAATCGAATTTAAAAATTTGTTTGGTACAACACGTGAACTTGAATAATTACTTATTCGTATGCGAGTGAACAATCAGCAGGAAATTATTCCACGTGCGAAAATTAGACAAAAATGTGGAATACAATTCTTCCGTTTAAAGTCTCGTTTTCAAGAAAATAGGCTTCGAACGTATTTAATTAAAAATTGATTTGATGTAATACGTGCATTTAACAAATTGTCGAATTTAATATTATCGGAAACGGAAATTGATCCTATGAAAAAATTGTATTCTACAGTTTGTAATTATTGCTGCACGTAGAATAACCTTATATCGATTATCTACTCTTGTGTAGCCTGGAATTAGCAAAGTTTAAGTATATTTGACAAGTTTGGCAAATGTTATTCTATATTTTCAATTTGCTTTATCACGTAGAGTCTTATGTAATCATACCTTGATTACAGGGATACCCTGTATATTCTGCTAAGTCAGAACAAAAATATTAGATATTGATCTATAGCCACGCAAGAATCTAAAATTCTTCATTCATTCCTTCAGAAACAAATCACGCCCATATCGCTTAAATAGAATACAGGCCTCCACGAAACAATCGAATTCGACGATACGATTCTCCTCAACTTTTACTAGTCTTCACAACGATAATTAGTAGGATAATTATCTAAAAATCTTCTTTGTCTATTGAAGAATCAACCTACGACAAAATTCTATCTATGGACAGTCTCACTTATCTCATTTGTGGTAAAAAAACCAGACAGAATCCCTCAGTCAGCTCGAAAATGTGGGAAGTAAGTCGACCGAAAAATTTTATTTCTCCACTCATCGATTATTGATAGAAAGAGAAACAAACCATAGAAAATGAGCAAATGTTATTCCAGTCGATTTTTCACATAAGTACACGTTCCTTAGCTTCTCCTCCAAATCGAGGTTTTATCTTTGAGCAACGCGTCGATGTCCTTCAAAATATCATCCGACGCCATGTCCAATGTCAAATAATCCTCTTCATTTACATTCAACAAACTGTCTGCTTCTTTAGAATCCACTACAGTGTACGTATCAACCGATTTCTTCGGTTCACTTATTTCTAATTGCACCTGATCCTCATTCGTGCTGCTATCACATAATCTAACCTCAACTTCATTCTTCCTAGGTCTACTATTCGAACTCATCGACTGTGATTCGTTCAATCTTTCCATAGAACTTGATTCGGGACTATTTCTACCAGATCCTTCTTTCTTTTCTTCGATTTGCTCCTCCTGGCCAATTTTTTCATCTCGTTCCTCACTGTGCAGCAAACTCAACCTCTTTGGAGATCTTCTGAGCTTCACAGGCGGCACACTGCTCGAGATGACGCTACGATCATTATTACACTTCACTTTGCGCTTAGAAGTGTCCTCTTCTACATTTTCCAAACGTCTCTTCACTCCTCTAACAGAAATTGCTTCTTTAAATTCAGCTTCTGTTTCTACGGCGTCTTTCAGAAATCCTGTCGATTCCTTTGTATTGATTGAATCCATCGATTCTATGCTTCTGATTTTATTTTCTTCAAAACCTTTGTATTTTCGACGACGAATTTCATCCAGCGAAAGAACCTTGAAGTCCAATCCTTTTTTGTCGCTCGAATCGTTGTTCATTGACAGATACCGACAGATTTTTTTGGTCCTACGAGTCTTGATCTTCCCGCCACCAACATCACTCTGATAGTCTTCAGTCTGATAGGAATAGTAGGCGGCGCTTTCGGCTTGAATCTCCTCCAGACGAATCTCCTCGTATGTCTTGCAGTATGGTACCCTCAGCTGCGGCTTTACCGGAGACGGTACACTTTCATTGTCCGATTCTGGAAGAAACATACCACGAAATTGCGGAAATCTTTGTTTTATTATTGAACGAGAATGTTCCATTTTGTTGTTAAAATCCTTAGATATTTTTCATCTCTCGTTTTTTTTACAACATTTTACAAATATTTTAAAAAATTTCTGTGTGTTTACTTTTGATTTGTTTAAGAATTTTCTTTTAAAAGTCTTTATTTATGTTTACTTTTGATTCGTTTCAAAATTCTATTTGGCGTCTCCCAAGCGTCTTTTAGATTAAAATTATTTGAAAGACTTTTAATTAACTCTAAAGTGAGCTTACTCTGAGTTTTGATCGTAGATTATTTCTGTTATTGTCTAATTGTCGTTTTTGGTAGATTGAAGTAGCCTTCGATCTCCGGTTGAGATTATGGGGAAAAGTTTGAGTTTGAAAATAGAAACAACGAAAATGTAGAGTACAATTCCAATACTTTGACCGATTTTCCTTGGATATGAGTTCGGTGATCCATCTCTCTCCTCCCTTTTTCTATCTTATTTTGTGTCTTTCTTTTTCTTTTCGTTCCTTTTAACAATTTCTTATTTCCTACAGTTTAAGAGTAACTAGCACTAACTGTACAAACTTCTTTGATTTTACGTGATCAGGTAATCTATGCTTAAAATCCAATAGGTGAATTAGTATCGTCGTCGTTATCATCTCTTTGTGCTCCTTCTCTCTTATTTCCTCTCTCTCTCTCTTTCTCCTTTTTGGTTCTCTGTTTACTAATTACTTTTCAAAAATCTCTTTGAAAATTCGTCGCTTTTGGATTTTTTTCTAGTTCCCTCCAGGCTTCTTTCTCCATACAATTGGGAAGTACACGAACCAGCCAATATTTAAAACGATCTTTTCCTTTCTCTCTTTCTTTTATATAGATACATACATATGTATATGTATATGCAATATTGTGCAAAAATCTTAAGCCAGATATCAAATGGAAATCTTTTGTTTTTATTAAAAAATTTAATTTTCCTTTATTAAAAAATAAATTCCGTTTTTACTATGGGAGAAATATTTGACTCTAGAATTATTGGTAATTTGCTAAAAAAATATAAATTCAAGAGTTATTAATAATATATTGAAAAATATTTATTAATTTGAAATAATTGATATTTTGTGCAACTTTCTTTTGTTTTCCCTGAATAATATGCGAACAAATTTATTTTAAACTGTCATTTCTATTTTAACATTTCAAATAATTTTAACGTTTTTGATTTCCCTTTTCTAATTTAAAACACTATTCCTAAATAAATTGTGGATCGAGAAAACCTACAAACAAGAAGGGCCATCAAGACTTGTTCCTGTATAAAAATATTTTTTAAATGGCCTAAGACTTTTACAATGTATATGTATATATATAATACATATAATGTATATTGTATAACATATATATATATATATTTAATATATTTATTTATTTATATATATGGATATTTATATATATAAATATATAAATATTTTATATATATTTAATATAATGTTTAATATAATATTTAATATATATGTGTGTATATATATACTTATATAATAAATATTATAGATATATTAAAAATAAGAAAACGTGGATAAACGCACGACAATGGCACAACACAGTCAAAGAATCTATCATCGACAAAGAAAAAAGTTGACGATGAGAAAATAACCAAAAAATCCGAGTTTCGAGTGAAATTGTCGTCTAATTATCTTTAATTTAGTAGTTGTCGAAAAATCTCCCTTTTCTTGTTTTTCTTCTTTTCTTTTTTAACTGAGTACAATATTTGTGAACATTTTACAAATTAATTTGATCATCCATTTGCAATCACGTGGATTAAATTATTCCGGACAACAATTCGGTCGTGAAAAAAAGGTATGTGTCACTATGCGGTATTCGCAATATCAAGTGTCGCAATGCATAGTTTTAACGCAAAAGAGCGGCAGACATGGTAAATTTCACAAAACACAAATTAGTAAGGATCAAATGCTTCGCAACACTCAATGAGAAATTCTGAAAAATTTTGAAACGCAATTTGAAAGAAAAACTATCACAAATAATATTTATTTCAACGCTGGGATTGCTTTTGCAATTTACTGATTATTTATTACTCCAGGGCAATAGTGATGACTTTAAAACTAAACGAAATATTAAAATACATTATTTTGTAATTTTTAATCATTAAATCATTAATGAATCAATCAATTAAAAAATTACAGTGTTTTATCATTTTTAAATAGAATATTTCTTAATTTTTAATTAGAATTAAAGTATGATGCAATTGTTGTATAATAATGCCTTGGATAAATGCAAAAATAACTATTTGTGATAGTTTCAGATTCGATACAACAAATGCAAAAAAATAGGCCCAAAAAAACTATTCGACCAATGTAAAAAGACGATACAATTAATTTTATAAAACGCGAATTTTGTATCTTTATAAATAAATAATAAATTGGAAAAATTGTCTCTGTCACACTAGCATTATTTTCCCTTTCATTTCATGGCATCAAGTTTATTGGAATCCAAATAATCGTCTCGGTAAAAATTAATATTTTCCATTCGTTTACATGGATTAGTACGGAATTATTTATCGCATATTCAGCGTATAATCTCTCTACTTTTCTCTCTCTCTCTCTCTCTCGCTCTCTCTCCTCTCCTCTCCTCTCCTCTCCTCTCCTCTCCTCTCCTCTCCTCTCCTATACTCATTCTCTGTCCGCCTGTCTATTTTGTCCGTCTGTCTGTCTGTCTGTCTGTTTGTCTGTCTGTTTCTCCCTCTCTCTCTCTCTCTCTCTCTCTCTCTCTCTCTCTCTCTCTCTCACTCTCTCTCTCTCTACTTTCTCAACCCCCACTTTCTCACTTTTAATCGAATCAGTTTTTATTTTTGAAATTGAAGAGACTTGCTCACCTTTTGTTTCATCGTCAATCGCCAAACAAAGGCTTACAAGTTATTTTAAACGAATTCAACGACAATTTCCTTCGTTCTTTATTAATTTTTCAATGAAATAATTCAATCACTAAAAACTATATAATTTCTTGCATTTTTAATATAGGATAATTCTTTTTGTGTTAATTATCTCAATAATTATATTTTCCTGTTGATATTTTGCAAATTTTTCTTTTTGTGAATATACATATTGGAATAGAGACATATTTTTGAAATTGCCGTTGACCAAGCATCGCACGCGCGACTTCGAGAACACATGCGTTACAATTCGAAGAAAAATACGCAAATAAGTAACAATATATATCAATACAACAGAGATACGAATGACAGACAATAACGGTCATGCCGCTGCAATGACGACTTTTGGTAACAATAAATAAAAAAGGAAAAGGAACAAAACAGAAAAAAAAGTCATCTATCGACGAAGTAATATAATATAATTCGAATAAAGATTCATCTCCCGAATGGGGGACAATGATTTAAGAACAATTTGCAGCTGAACGCACACGATAACTAACAATTAAAAATAAAAATAATTCACAGATCAAAGAAAAACAAAAAAGCATATTGAACACCCCTTAAAACGGAGAAAAAAACACAACTCGAGAAGCATGTTACAAAAGGGAAAAAAAGGAAAGCTTTAAAATTTGAGACCTTTGAAAAATACCAACGAAACAAAAAAGAATTTATATAAAGAGTGTTATTATATAAATTGCAATGATCGACCGAGAAATTTTTCTTTCATAAAATACAGTAGAAAACGAAAACGTAAATTACCGATCCTGTGATAAGCGAATGATTTTGTAATCAACGACTCTTTCAATCAATCGAAAGAATCTCGCGGTAATTAATTGTAAATCAAGCCAAACCAGCGTCGTTTGATTGGCTGAACGTTGACACGAACGAAACAAACGATATATTAAAATTACTAATGTTATTCGACTATAATAAATAGCGATTAAAGGTCGTCGCCGGCGGCACGAGTCCAGCTACTGATCTTTTTTCTCTCTTTTTCTTTTCTTTCCTTCTCCTCGCTCGTTAAACGTACTAAGTTAAGTTTTACACTATTTCGTCTCTCAATAAGCACGCACACACACATTCGCCAAGAAGTGGCACGCATTACAGGCCCTGTGCTTTGAAAAGAACATGCGATAATTGCACTTGCTGCGCGAGAACGGGTCAAAAGACGATCTTGTTGCATTTCAAACAATCATTTAACTCTGCATCTATTTTCGACAGTATAGCGTGCCTGTCACGGAACTTTTTCTCATTCTTCACGTCTTTCGCCATTCTCTGACTTCTTTCTAACTCTCGCGAACGCGATCCTCTATTTCTCATTATTTGCAAATATATTACAAAAACATATATTGGGAAACAATTATTTCAATAATTACAATGTAATGTAATTATCAAACTGACCTGTATCGTACTATTATCGCGTATTTTGTTCTTTTTCATTTTTTTTCTTTTAAATAAATATTTTTTCCTGGCAGGAGACTGTTAATAGCGAAAAAAAAGGAAAAAAGCGAAAAATCGAGAAATTTCTCGTACATACACGCACTCTCTCACTTATTATATCGCCTATAATATATAATTTTTCTTTTTTTCAAGCTTATCCGCATTTCTCATTCTTCTTTTCATTCCTTCTCCCTTCTCCATGCACGTTTCTTGATCTACATCACAAATTTTGTTCTTTTCATTCGCATATTTATGTTCACGAGTTAAACAAAAAAATACAAAGATCCTGCAGTGTTATCTTGAGATTCAAGATCACTGCTATTCCTATCTCAAACTAATAGATTCTTTTCTTTTTCTATTCTAACCCTTCTTTGTTGTTGTTGTTTTTGCTTTCATCGAAATCAAAAAGAGAAATTCAATAAAAGGTAAAGACAAAAATTTAGGCACTAGAACGTAGAATTCTACCCGTATAAAACCGCAGAATCAATAATAATCCCGAATTTATCGATTTTGTGATCGATGATGACATTCAGACACGGCGACGATTAATTTCGATCGTGGATATATCATTTAGCAGTTAAATAGAATATAATTACTTCGTCATGCTGTACGATAGTCTCGTAATGCAGATTACACTTAATTTTTTTTTTATTTTCATCATATCTCTTCGTGCGGATCTAGGCGCAAATAGTATTCCGTAATAAAAATAAGGAATATATGTATATTCATATATATATGTACATATATATTCTTGCTTTCATTGGGATCTAGAATATTTTTATGATGAGAAATTCTACGTCTTTTTTCCTCTTTTTTAAATATTTCTAATAATGAAGCAATTATATAATTATTACTCGATCACGATGCGACTGAAACAAAATTTACACGTACTATTCCACCAAGTTCCGCTCTTATTTCTCTTTTTTTATTATTTTTTTTTCTTTTTCTTTTTTAAGAGTACGTATATGTAAATATGTATCTGTGTATGCATGCAATACGTGATATAAAGTTGCATTTTCCTCTTTCCTTAGGAATTATCTCGTTTTAATGTATAAATACACAAATATATATTTGTGACGATATATATTCATATATTTATGCTCGTAGCTTTTTCGTATTTATATTATATAACCTCACTGTTCGATCGTTTATTTGATATTCCCGTGCGATCTCCTTCGCTTTCTGCTCTAATCTTCTTAATCGCTGATTCATCGTAGGAAAACGAAGTACAAGAATATCCAACATAATCGAATAACGATATCATCGGCGAAAGAAACGAATCTAAGCTATAAAATTTCCCTCGGTCGAGATCGAACGATTAACATTCACTTATCAACAAATTTGAAAAAACTCGTTAAAAGGAATCATCAGAATAAAAAGTTCTCTTAATCCCGATGCTGTCATTAATTTCTCATTCGTTCTCGTTCACCATGGAGATTTCTTACATTTTCGATAATTGAAACTTTGAGTAAAACGAAACATGCTGCAAGATTTTATGTTTACGTTAGAATTTCTTTTTATACAGATTCAAGATTCGTGTTGTCTCGTGCAGCGTGATTCGATGAAAAATATTCGTTTCCCTCTTTTATACATCGAAAGATTTAGAAGCGATTTTCTTTCCTTTCTGTTTGTACAACACAACAAAATTTTGATACAACACGCTGCTATTAACAAATTTCGTCTAGACACGAATAGCTATACTGCTATTGCTCGTTTTATACTTATTATCCCATGCCATTTGAAAACTCGCTAATTCGTGTGGGAAGCCAAAACATATGAAGGCATTTATCATATTTCTTTCATGTGTACGCGCTATATTATAAATCAAGGCTGGGATATTACGATTGAATCAGATACTGCTTATACATATGTATATATATCCTTATAAATGAAGGTTCATATATCTTTGTTCGTTCTTGTTCGTCCATCTCGCCTTTATCGTCTTTCTTTCTTCTCAAACGAAAAACATTATTACGAATCGCATGTAAAAGATACATACAACATTATACCAAAAAGAAATGCGCGTATGTGCACATATATCTGGGGCAGTATTCGACTCGAATAATATTTTTCTCTCGCTTACGCTTCATCTAGCTCAAAGCATAACCTTATTAAAAATCACAAACAAAAAATTAGTACATGTTAGAATAATCTTTTTTTGGATTTTTTGTTTTTTTTTCATCAATTTGCACAAATGGTTATGCTTCAAGGGCATCTCACTGATGAAAGAAGTATCCTTTCTTTTGAGCCTTTTTCAAACGATCAAACATCAAACATATGAAAACTCAGTCTCAATTAAAAACTAAACAAACTACTTCACCCTAAACCAGTCTCGGATGTCGAATTGGTTATCAAGAAATCTGTGCGAGTTCAAATCGTGTGTGTGTGGCAAAGCGACGACCCATAGCTATCTTCTTATTTCATCCAGTATAGGTTCGTGTTTCGTTAGTGTTATAACACAACGAAAAGACGTGAGTACTCCGATCTTGTTTTTTCTATTATGCGGCATTCGGGAAAATTCAAGGCTCATCGCGCTGCCGCTGGAGAAAGATAGCCATAGGCAGTTAGAGGGCTACAGGCAAAGTTTAGATATAGCAGCCCCTGCAAAAATTGATATTCAAATCTACGTTTTTTTTTTTGCTTTTTTCGTTCTATTCTGTTCTTTTTTGTTTTTTTTTTCCTTTAGTTTATGATTAGGTTACCATGCTCATTTTTTGATGATACAGTTACTCTCAACTTTTCTAATTTATAATATAATTATAATGTAACCATAACTGTGTTCAAATATAGATGTAAATTCTGATTACAACTAGTCGGTAAATTTAAACCAATATCACTGAGAACACAGAGTTATCGGATCAATCTAAATGTTGCATGTTATCCCTCTTCCCCATGGTATACACTGTATGTGTATACAAAATTATATGTGTAATTTAATCATTATATTGAAACAACACACACCTTTGACTATAATTCTTAAAGTGTTATGTACACAAATGTACGAAATGATCTTTCAAAGAAATCCTTCACATGTCAATATAATTTTATAACCTTATTCTATCCAATAATAAAGACGACGATATAGATCACCTATTGCTTTTTCACTACATATTCATAACTAATGAAATATTCTTCTTGCATATATTTATATATATAATTTCATATATATCTTTATCTCTCTTTCATTTTTTATGTAAGCTAAATAAAAACTATTAATATTTTATTATATGTATCAATAAATTCTAGGTAGTGCAGTCTTTATTATTGAAGAGGAAATTTAAAACGTATCTTGTGGAAATTTACAATACATCAATATGTATCTGACACTATCAAAAGCCATTACTATTAGCAAAATATCATATAAGTTTTTAGTGACATTGATGCAGCTTAAGCTGTTTTCTCATAATGAACTTGTTTTTTTTTCTTTTTCTTTCTTAAATAACTTAATTATATTAATTTACAAGTCTTGTATGAATCAGATAAATTAAGTGAAAATCGATTAAGTATCGGAAATGTACTAACATTCCTGGTGCTCAATCAATATAAAAATCTGTAATCAATTTTACTGCAAAATAGAAAGTATAACTTTTTCACTTTTGCATATAAAGCATTGTATATGTTGTACGTTTATACAATACTTTACACCAGCTTTTTTTAAAAGACAATGTTTAGTTGTTTCATATAATTTTATCTGTGTTTCTCTCCCTTGTTTTAATATTTCATTAACGTATTTTTTCTATACTGGTTATTGGTCGATAGAAACTTACATTGTTACAATTAGGGCATTCCCGGTAATTTTAAAATCGTCTATATGACGTCATTTCAAGGTATGGGAAAGGAAATCTTGATGTTTGAGGTTGAGAAGTTTGCTGAGTATGAATGGGTGAATATGATGGCTGCTGAAGCAGCGGAGAATTCTGTTGATTTTGTAGTGGAGACAATGACTGTCCAGGAGAATGTGAATGTAAATTTTGTGGGTGAGAAAATGATAATGCATGATGGCAAGGGGAAGTTTGTGAGTTTTGTACATTAGCTTGTGGTATATTCAAATTGTTTGTAATGTTAATATTGTTTAGTATGTTGAGACTGTTAGACACGTTATTAGGGATTGTCAGGTTACTCGGAATACTCAGTGCATTAGGAATATTTATGCTTGTTTGTAGATTAGGTGGAAGGGAAAGAGTAGCCGACGTAAGATAATGTACGCTGAAAGATGGACGGGGGGGCTAGTAAAGCCTCATACCTTCTTCAAATTTGACGATAAGAGGATCAACAGCTGGACTACCAATAAAACTGCCTGCTTCACTGCTTCCTCTACCTTGATCTGACTCAGTACTACTACCATCATATTTTGTGTCATCTGTTAGTAAAGAAAAAAGACCTTATAAAATAAATGAAAATAACAGCATAAGGTTATAAAATATTGTAAAATCATAATTTACAGGGTATTCTAAAATAAAACAATTAAATAATTAAATAATATATTTTATGAATATATATAACAGAAATTTAAAATTTATTAATTAATTATAATGAATATATTAATCATGAAAATATCATTGACCTTTTATTTTATTTTATTCCTGTATGAAAGGTTATAAAAACAATAATGTATCGCATAACATTTGTGAGAAAGTTCAACATAATATAGAAACAAAATATGCAGAATGTTACATTTAATATTTCATTAATAAATAATAAAGCTCTCATTAAAAACAAGAACAGCATTTTGAGATGTAAAATTAATTAAAGTTACAATACTTTAAAATAATACATATAATTAAAATAAACAATTTAGTTAAGCACTGTTGATTTACTTTCATACTGAAATATTAACAAATCTGCTATTACTTCATACTGAATATTCCCATTTAAACATATTTGTTAATAAAATATTTTCCATATTTATGTAATATGCTTGTTTTATATATTGACATAATTTGGTTGTTTAATTTTGAAATACCCCATATGATAACATAATACTCTTACCTTGACGATTTGACCATTCTTGATTCATTGTTTTTGATGTTAAATCAAAATTTTTTACTGGATTAATAGGATCATTAGTAATTGTACGAGCGTTTTTATGCATAAAAGAACAGTGTGGTTTTCTACAACCGCCAGGTTGTGTTTCCCAATAACACGGGATTGATTTGCGATTTTTCTATTCAAACAAGTAACAAAGAAACATTAGTAAACTATTTAAAATTCCAATTAATGATTTATTTATCTGTAATATTTGAATGATGCTTACTCTTAATTCCATATGCCTAAAGTTACAATGTTCATCAAAGCATTTGCCCTGCTTCCAATATACGCACATTGTTTCACAACCCAAGGCAGATGGTTCATGTCTAAATGGACAGTTATCACCCTACAAATATAATTATAAATTAACAAAAAAAACAAATAATAAAATACATCAAAAGTATAATAATAATGAACTAACAAAGAATTGTTATAATTAGTTGCAGTGCTCATGTACAATGTAAATACTGCAACAATCTATAATTCAAACTTCAACAATTCAAAATTCAGCAGTTAACGTTATTTCATATAATTTCTCATAATACATTATGAAAATAAATATTTAATTATTTATACATAATGACAAACATCACAATTTTCAATTAATATTACCATCATGAGTAACAAAAATTGTTTCGGACACGAACATAGTAAACAATATACGACAGTTAAATTTTTCAAAGTAAAAAAAGTTCAAAGTGATCATAAAATGAAGAAATACAACTGTTGTAGTATATAAATAACACGATTCACTAATTATTTTAAAACGACGGATGATATCGTAGAGCCTGCCACCAACATGGCCGATCTAACCTCGCGCATTCAATGTATCAGAAACAATATGGAACAAATCTATCCAACATTTAAAATTTTACGGTGATGATTAAATACAACGAATGTTTCGTGCATTTTATATTTTACATACCTTTGTGCATGTTGAGTAATAGAAAAAATAACAGTCGGTATTCTTATGACTGTGCTCCATTTGCAAGAACCGATAGAAAGATGAGTGATCGTGTTCTTTACTGAAAAGAGAATATTTATACAGATCACTATTAAATGTCACATTTCGTAGGAATAAAGCGAAAAAGATCAAAGTGAAGTATCCATTACCACTTTGTGCGAAACATGATTACAACTTATAGTGTATCGTGTTCAACCGCCAGATCCAATGTTATGGAAAATTAATTTGAATGTAGAGGTTTCGCAACCACCAATATTTGTACCGACGATAATGACCTTTTTTCATCGTGTATTCAATATATATTCATTACTTACGTGTGATGGCAGTGATTCCTAGGATGACTTCTTTTTTGCCCCTTCGCTTTGACCCACACACTAAATCAACTCGCACACAGATTCAAGTAAATAGTTCGACCGTGGCACTTGTCGCCCCTTTCGTTAGTGACGCTATTCGCTACCGCTACAGATACGATGGCGTAAACTTCCGAGAAAACACGGAACCACACGACTTGTTACGCGCCCTTTTTGAATTAGTACAATTATTACACAGCTATAGTGACTCATGAATGAAGTTAAAAGCTTTTATATACAATTGTATATGTCATATAAATTATTTTCAAACGTTACTAACACTTTCATGAGACACAACTATGATGATTATATTGATCAAATTTGAAACCAATCCGAAAATGCATGTAAAAGTTGTAGAAGTTTTATATATATATATATTTATATATATATATATATATTTATATATATATATATTTATTTATATATATATATATAAAAGTTTTTTTATCGTAAGTATTTCGTGAGCTACTTTACATGCTAAAATGATGATTTATGTAACATGTTTGATTTTCAGCTAATAATACCATTAAATAATATACCGTTGCTAAGAAATAATAAATATTATCTGAACTAAGCTAAAACAAATTATGCACATTATATAATATATAATATAATAAATGAAATAAGTAATTATTTACATCTTTATTTTATTTACATCTGTAAGTTTAGAACAGATTTTTATAAATTGCAATACATTTGTTATAATATGTATTTAACGAAAATAAATACAAAATATTCAGCCAAAAAAGTATTCAAAAATAATTTCTTTGAGCTGTATTATATTCATATTTAACCATTAAAAAATATTATATATAAAATGATTAATAAATACACTTAAGTTAATGATTTACAATTTAATTGCATATTTAAAGTAATATAACAGTCACAAATTGTATAGTAGAGATACTAACATATAATATTTTTACAAATGATTTTATAAATATACACTTTTAATACTTAATGTCAATATTAAGTACATTACCTCTATTATACACTATTTGATTACAAAATTATAAAATAATTGCATTTAAAAATTATATGTTTGAATAAATATATATAATATTTAAAATAATGTGTTTCTTAAGCTAGAATTTAACAAATAAAGTTAAATATTGAAATATAGTTACTTAAATACTATAATTATCACAGAATTACTGCAAGATAATTTTTTTAACATAAATTCATCGAAAGTGACAAAATTTATTCATAACAATATAATATTTACATCCTAAAATATTCATATAAAGAGAAAATAGAAATTTGAACAATGTGTAATTAAATCGACTAAATAGAAAAAATAATTTATCAAAATAAATACTTTAAAATCATTAAAATAACGTCTTAAATTTTATTTTATTATAAAGATAACTTATATTCAATCATAAAATTTTAATTTTTCGTATATTAAACAACATATAAAGCTTAGAAGTAATATATGCTCTATGTACAACAATATAAATATTGTTTTCAATAAAGATATTTGCAGAAATCAAAATACAATAACAATGAAAAAGAAGCATTTTAAATTAATATTTTTAACAAACATATTTGATAAAATTATACAATATTACAATGTAACAAATATATAATATTTAAAAGATTCAAGCAATATTCTTTTAGGGACTAAACATACATAATTGTATAGCAAGAAAGTAAAGATTTATTATAATTAAATTAAAACTTGAATATTCCGTTATAAGACATAGATTATAAGAACATATCAATGTTTAAACGTGATGTGTACATAAAAAATTTTTGCGTTTTAATTTTTTTACATACTCAGATATGTAAGATATGTACAGACAACTATAAATGTACAGTTCATTCCACTATAATATATATAACATATAATATATTTTCATAATAGACTCAAATTTTTCCGTATATATGATTCTGTGATCATGTCCCAAAATATTTTAATTTAGCATATTGTAATAAACACAACAAAAAATTCTTTAATCATAAAAATTTAATATAAAATTTTAAATACAAGATCTTAGAAACATAACATTTTACAAAATAAAACATAATAAGTAGAACTTACATTTAATCAATGAGATAAAATACAAAAATTTTAATCTAATCGAATAGTTAAATATCCTGACTAAGTAAACAAATATTATACAACGAAATGAAGACTTTTATGTTCTGCATAATACTTAAGTGTAAACAAATTATTCTTCCAACATCTCATATTAATGTGAATTAATTAAAAAATTTTATTTTACTTTTTTATTTTAAAAAAACTGATACTAAATTTAATAAATTTGTTATAGTGGAAAAAACTGTTTTTGTTTTCGTTTTGTTTGAAAAAATCAGATTTTTAAAATAAAAAAAATCTAACTAGCAATTGTCATTAATACACATTAGAAAAATACCTCACTGTTTTGTAACAAAAGGATTGGCCAGCAACCCATCCTGGAAATTAAATTTATTGTAACATACAATGATAAAATGTCAAGATATCACAACATACAATGTGACAAAATTATTAGTCCACTATAATACACTATTAATTTTGGTTTAATGTAGTCCAATATTATTCATTTCCAAAGATAAATATCAATTAATGCATATCTTCAGTTTAATAGAAATACAGGAAATGACACAGGAAATAACATCAGTTTTACAGTCTTATCAAAACATTTTAGATTATCATTGTATATTGTATATTATAGTCAGTTTTATTTTTATCACGTAACTGATTATTAAATCACATGTATTCACTCTTATACACATCTTATACATATACATTAATACGAACAAACGTTCTTCATTGATTTTAAGCTAGACAATCTATCTGGTAGGCTCAAATAATTTATCATTCAATATCCATTAATATCTTACATTTATTATATTACTTTACTGTATTTTCTCATTCCTTTAAAAGTTGCCTATGAAATTCGTCAGAACATTTACGATGAGAAGAACAAAAAGCATTGGTAAAAAATTTATATTCAATTCTCTGTTTTCATACTAGGTAACAACCACTGCTATAAAACCAAACATATATTGCAATAATTTGACTAGCATACTATAATCTATCATGTACGTTTTATATCTATATATGCAACAAATATGTATATATAGATATTACATAATATTTATATATTATATACATAATATATTAATATTAATATATAATTAATAATAATTATATATTAAATATAAATAATAAATTACATAATAATTCCATTATATTATCTATTAATTAATATATTATATATTAATATATATAACTAATTTTGTGTGTGTGTGTGTGTGTGTGTGTGTGTGTGTGTGTGTGTGTGTGTGTGGGCGCGCGCGTGCGCGCAAAATTATTAACAACCTCATATATACATCACGTTTTAACACGTGTATTATCGCATATCATAAATACACATGTATATATCCAGAATATTCATTCCACCAATCTTTTCTTTATTTGTTTCATTAATGAAAATGCTAAACACTGACTACTATTGCCATTATTTATCGCCTTGTACTCGCTCATAGTAAAAATCAGCATATTTCATGTAAGTGCATCTTATATAACTGAATGTTATCTTAATGATTATTGAATAGCTTGAATAGATTTGAATAACTATTCAATAGCTTGAATAATGACTATTGAATAGCTAAAGGCAATTACTAGCATAAATATGGTAGACAAGATAATATACAAAACAAGTAAACTCAGGAAATTTTTGCCCATAACATATTATAATAAATGTGTTATTCAAGTTTTCCCTTTATAAGACTTAAAAGTCAATGTAACATATTAAATTCGTATAGTAAGGATCCAAAAGTTCTAGTATGACATACCTTTCTCTCTTTAAGTTAAATATAGATGCTATGAAAACACATAATTCAACTGTGTAAAATTTCACTTCTAATAATATGAAAAGTAATAATTAATAAAATTATTATTATGACTTATTCGAACTACAACATTTGGAACAATCAAAACAACTGGTATGCTATCTCTTTGATGACCAAGATGCACGAGTAGCACTGCCTGGGCCACTTCCAATTATTCGATTTTGAAGTTCTGTTATTGTTTCTTGCAAGGCTCTTTTCTCTTTCAGAAGCAGCTGTATGTCTTCTTGTGCTGCACTTAAATGAGATTTGATTACAGTAGATTCTTCTTTTATACGTATTAATTTCGCATTTTCTTCTGATATTTTCTCCAAAGCATTGAGACGACGTCGAAGCTGTTCATTATCCAATTTCAACTGTTTACTGGACTGTCTTAAAATATTTAGTTCCATTTCATGATTTATATTCTCGACTATTTGAGTATCACTGTTTGTGAGTGTTACAAGGGAATTACTCCTGCTCAACAAATTTACTAGAAACAAAATGTTTAAGTTAGATTAATAATAGAGAAATGTATAGGAAAATATTTTATAGTGATCTATAAAATACACAAAAAAGTTGTGCTTCTAATAAAAAATTACTTTTAACGAATTAGGAAATTAAATATTTTTTATTGAACATAGATGGTGAGTAAACAATATATATTTACTATCTAAACTATTTGTGAACAATAAGCAGCGTTATAAAACAATGTTTTGTACCTTATATGCAGCATGTCCAAAAAGGACATGTTGGGGCAAAAATGTTAGGACAAAACTTATACTACATGTTAACGAGGTCAAGTAGATCAAAAAATTTATATAACCTTATGTCCGAAAATGCTTTATTAAAGAGTTATAAGCATCAAAAAATTGTTATTAATTGCTTTGACAGTTGTAATACATGTTTGAAATTGCTTCTGTAAGAATATCAAGGATGCAAATCATTCATCGAACTAATGATTGTTGAACTCTTTTGAATATTCCTACTATCGTAGAAATAATAGTAAATATATTTGTGTCTTTCTGCAATTCTGTATAATGAATCTTAAGAACTACTTTCTCAGAAATCTTTGAACACTCATAAGTCTTCAATAAAATACTTTTGGTCATAAGTTTACATAAACTTTTCATAACTTTTCATAAGTTTTGTCCCAACCTTTCTGGATATTCTATATGTTATTCATTCATGCTAATTTATAAATTGCATTAAAAATTTTAATAAGCATACGTGATAATAAGCAGAAATTATTTTCTTTTGATTTGAGAAAAAATAAAACATGCCTTTGCATAATTAAATGCAAATCTAAAATTCTATTTATTCAATGTCCTATTAAACAATATTATTAAAGCAGTAAATGCTACTACTATTTTTCTAATTGTTTTGTATAAATGCTCACATTAGAAAGGCCGTCTGAATGCACAGAATTATACAATGTATAACATTAATTTTAAAAAAGTAAACAAATCTTTAAATAAAAGAATTTATCACTTACATATATTTCGAAAACCTACTATATTATGAACTTACTGTACAATACTATATTATACACTATATATCTTTCTTGTATGAAAATAATAAGTGGCAAATAACAAAACTTCATTGTACATTGTTACCTACCAACTGGTTCGATATGAAAAACTCCATTTGCATCTCGTACTATCTTAAGCTTTGCAATATTCAGATCTATAGGAATTGGTCCTGGCGAAGTTATATTATTCGGTGGACGATCTTCATTTAAACGCAATGATATACTCTCCAGATATATCTGTAATAAAATAAAAATGTTATGTAATTAAGAATAAAGTTAAAAGAAATAATACAATAAAATTTAACATACCTGCAATGGTATCGGCCTAGGTATAATTTCATCTTCAGTTAAGTCTGTAAGACCACTTATTGAACTCATAGACAAGGCCATAGATACATTAGTAACTTTAACTTCTAATTTATCTTCAAACAAATCCAAAACACTTTGTTTGTTATGTACATCTATAGTAGTATCTACCTCTTCCTCAGCTGTATTATCTTGATTCTGATTTAAGTGCATATTTTTATTCCTTATAGCTCGACTTGCTTGAGACAATTTCCAAGAATCTGACTTGCATTTTAAATCATGATCCAAACGTAGTTTAATACATGATCTACAGTTAGAATCTGAAGGTAATTCGACCCAACCTCGTGATCGTGCACTGAATTTTGTCTAATAAACAAAAAATATTAAAAAATATATGTATAACATTTAACCTATATCATAATTATAATTTCTACTATGTAATAGAATTACAATTCTTTTATTTTGTAATAAATTCATAAAAATTTTAAACTAAGCTTTTAACTAAGAAATTATGGAAAATAAACTATAAAATCGTTGAAGACTAAATTATCATTTGCATATATTAGATAATAAGAACAAATCCTTAATATTAGCTTCTTTATAAGCATACTCTATATATATTTCCATAATATGTAATTAAACATTTAAATACAAAAGTTGCATATTGTTAACTTTTTCTTATTAATATGTGATAAGTTAAAAAATTTTAACATAAAAAGCTACGAAAACTTGTTTTATAAACAAAGCTACTTTCATTTCCGTATAATTCATATAAAATACACATAATCTGCAATCGCATTTGAAAGCTTTTCAAATACATTCCAGCTAAGCATTATTTCATACCATGCTACATGAACTTATTACACTTTGAGTACATATACATATTATGAAAATAAAAACTAAAAAGCTTTAAACCCTTCACATAAAAGTAAGAGTGTGTACTTTTGAAATGCTTACATAATTCGTTTGTATATACAAATAAAAAATAACAATAAAATATTAACTGCTAATTATGCAACTTAATAATGTAATAATAAACTTGTATGTAATTGTCACATACTCTACAAATTTATCATTTGCATATCAATAATCACTTATCAATAAGGATTTACAAATTATCACCTAAATCGTCAAATATTTTCCTTTAGTTATTATATACTAGTTATATTTTAGTTATTATATACTAATCTAAAAAGCTAATCTATACATTCACAATAATCTTTTTTAACTGATCAATAGGTTAAATATTTATATATATGCAATTTGTACAGCATAGTGACATAATTAATTCAAAAGAACTAGACATGCAATAAAATGTACATAGTACAAGGCATTTAATACGAAATATATGAGTACTTTGCCAATACCTTTCTCTTGACCTGCCACAAGTGCCACATAAAAACATTCACAAGAGAAGGAGAGACGCAGGAGAAGCATGCAAAAAAGTTAAAGACAAACATTGTATAAATATACATATGTAATAAAAAATGTTTATAATGTATGTGATATAAAGCTAGAAATAAAATCAAAAGAGTTTCGTGGCACACGAAATATGTAACTAGGAATAAAATATTAGTCATGAATACATTCCAAGTTTATACAAAAAACTTAAATATTATTTGAATAAGATACTGCATTACTATTTTAATGTAATCAAATTTCATACTCGAAACATCTTAACAAATTTTAACATAAGTTTCAGAGCAATATGTCCTCTATAAATGGTTAAATTTGTATTGATTAGAAATATATTAAATCTGTACACAATAAAAAGCACTTCATATAGTATATAAAAAAAGTTTAAACTTTCTAATGAAATTATTGTATGAAAGAAACACTAAAGAATAATATATTTTTGATTGCAGCAATATTAAAAAAACCTTAGTATTTAGATCTATTTAATAGATTTAAAATAGCATATTGTATGTAATCAGCAAACAGGAAATTTATCATTTAGATGAATAGAAGATAATATTACCTGAAATTCATCCCATGGGATAGATGAACATTCATCATTACCAATATTTGAAATTTGAACTTTAATTGATGATGCATATCCAAGAGATTGTTGAATAAATTCAACTTTAGATAATTTAAATGTTGCCATAGATACCTAAAAAGGATTATATCTAATCAGGATATTAAAGTTTTCAATTGTATTACATTATTATATTATGTAACATAGACTTACAATATCCTTTCGTTTACACACACTATCCATAGATTTTTCACTCTGAGTATCAGGAGTTTCTTCAACTACTTCACTAGCTTCTTCTACTGCTGTTATTCTAATTGAATTATCAACAGAAAACATTGTATCTAATTTTTCTTGATCTTGAAGATTAATTAAAACGTAGTTCTCACTGTCAGAACTAACATCACTTCTTATAGATACAGTATCACTGCTACCATCTTCTGGAGAAGCCTTCAAAGCTGAATCAATTGATGTCATCAAATTACTTAATCCTTTTTTCATAGAAGAGAGACCAACGTTGAAATTATTAGGAATGAATGGTGTATTTGAAGACGAATCTCCTTTACTATGCTTATTTGTAGCATCAGCATTATATCTTAAAGTAGGCAATGATTTCTCTTCTTCTACAGCAATGCACCTTTTATCAGGTGCTACATTTCTTATCTGCATATTATTTTCGTGTTTATTGGTACCATTTTGTTTAAAAGTCACAACAGTTTGAGGTATACTAGAATGTATAAAATCCATTGACAACATTGATGATACGTCACTTTGTGGCGTTATTGTTTCATTATTTATATTAATCTTTTTACTACTGCTCTCAACTCGTTCTGTACTTTGCCATGGAATAGACGAACCTGGAATGTCGTCTGCTATGCTAGATGAATCTGGCATAACGGATTCCAAATCACCTCCAGAATTTTCTTTACCAGGGGTATGCGACGGCATGACAAATGTTACTTCTACTTGTGGTATCAATGCACCAATAACAAGTGAACTACCACAATCAACCTTTAATATTTTATTAGAATCAATATTTAGATACGTTGCCATTTCCGATAAAACTTCCGATAACCTTAACAAAAACAAATATTGATAATGATTTATCTGGACGCTAACTAAATTGCTTATGTATGCAAGACCATGAATGTCAGCAGTAGATTTATTTTCTGATGAATCTTTCTCTGACGATTTCATAGACATGTAACACCATAGAGTTAAAGGAAATGCATCAAGGAATGGCACAGGTCGGTTTTGTCCGACCGCACGAGCACCAAGAAAATCTCCCCAAACGGGTTCCAAATTACAACACCATATGTCTTTAGCTTCAGTCCATAAAAGCTCCCGGTGTAATTGACGAACTAATTCGTTTACAGAATTACTACTAAAATTAGGTGGTGGATATCGAATATTATCAGTGCCTATAATAAATAAATGAATGTGAAATATATGTATCATACTTTATAATAATAATGTGAAAAATATACTTGTATACGAAACTTTTACCTGCGCAATGTGCCAAAAATTTATCTGTAAGAATATGAAAATCATTCGATCTATTTGGAAAGTCTGTAGCAAAAAACATCTGTCCCATTTGAAAAGCATTTACACACTGTGCTAAATCTGCTCTTGAAGATCTTTCTGCGGATCGAACATTTGTTATTGACGCTCTCGACGTCTGTATGTGCAAAGACTTTGGCCTATCCTTCTGATTAGGATAATCTTGTTGGCTTTCAAAAACTACCTGAAGATAATAAGTATATTGGGGGTACAGTAGTACAAGACTTTAACCTATAATACAAATGTCTTAGTACTTACCCTTGGAAGTATAGCTTCAATTTTCACATCAAAATACATTAAATTAGTGGAAGTATATGTTGATTGTTTATCCTTATTCATTAGAGAATGATATAAATTTAATGCAAATGAATTAAACCATAAGCAGGAACAGACATCAAAATTTACTTGGATAGGATTCAGTTGTACATAAAATTTTGGTGGTGGCACTAAACAATTATAAAATGGATGAAGTTGTAGATTAATTTAAAATTTGTTAACATGATAATTATATGTTTACTTACATGGAAATGTAATATCTCCAGGATAATAATAATATGTAAATTCAGCATGAACAATTGTAACATCTTCTGGAAGACAAAATTTGTCTCTGTCACCTAAGCAACATAAAAATATTTCAATAAAGTGTAATAGAAATGTAAATATATTCTCCAATAACATACATGCGTTATGAATATACTCCATACAACAATAAATATTCATATGATGTTATCTGTTACATATTACAAAATGCAAACCACAATGATTGCATGAAGTATAACCATTTATATGTATCTACACAACATAGTCCCTAGGATCTGTAAGATAAATACAACAAATTTTTTTATTGGAAGCCTTCTTAAAAGACGCGAAAAATTATATGCTTCTTTATAAATGATTGAAATTTCAATTACTTAACAGAATTATAATTTTCTATATTTTTATAATTGAAAAGCAGTAGATAATGTTAAATAGAATAACGTTCCATTTGAAATACTCGGAAAGTATATTACATAATTTATTACTTATTTTTTGAATATTTGTAATGTTTTTTACATACTTCGTTTTTAATTTTCTTCTTAGAAACTATAAAATAAATATATAAAAGATTATTGAATATTACTTACAACTGCAATAGAACTGATACGTATCTTTTAAAAGAAGAACATAAAAAAGATATTTGAAAATTTTGATTAAAATATTTGCTTTAGAAAAGCAAATTATACTATGATTATCTTTTAAATATATTATAATTACGCTTCAGATTAATTATACATATATTAATTAATATATGTATAATATTTATATATATATAATAATAATAATATTATTCATATATTTAGAACTGCTGTTAAAAACGTTTTATACTAAGTTGTAAATTAATGCTCAATAATATGATACATATAAGATATAACAACATAACACATGAAGCAACAAAACTTCTCAAACATGAAGCTATGTTTAATTGGTACTTATGATGCGATATTAATATGAATATACTATTACTGTTTGTAATCTGTACCTGTTGCATGTTTCTTCCTTGTTTGAGCTGTGCAATTATTAAACGAAATAATTATTGATATTATATGGAAGCTTTATATAAAGGATCATTTTAAAAAAATAAACCTAGTAAATAAATTAATTTGATCATCGTAAAACTTACACATACCCATAACAAATTCTTTTGGTACAGGGTTACGAGACGTTGTAGTTACTTTGTACAAGGTAAAATCATCTATCCTTATTATAATGCATGTCGTCATTAATTTAGCCAGCTGTTCCAAAATGTAATTTTTCACTGGATTACCACTAGGATGTTGCGACTTTTTTTTGTCATCAACAGTTATGTTTATATTTTGAGATTGATTACCCTTTTCCGAATTGTCTCCTAAACCTTTTGTGTTATTAACTAAATGAGAATAAGAAACGATATTTTATTAATATTAAAAAGACATGTTTGTGACTGACTGTTTACTTTTTAAAGACAAACCTGTAATGTTTCCTTGACTCCTAGTTAAAGGAGAATGCTGTGTTCTGCCAGAATCTATGAGATCCATAAACTGACTTCGAAAAGAACTTAAGGATTGCTGTAACCATTGGCTGTGAGGTGTAGCATTTTCTTTATATTTAGCCCAATGTTTTCTATCAGCCATTGCTAAGTGATATGGATAATAATCAACTTGAAATCTAACTAATGAAATTTGCAGTGCACCACCATCCTTTAAGTCGGGATGGGAGGATCTACCATCTAGGTAGAAAATAAATAATATTACAACATTGTTGTTAAAAAAACAATAAAAAACTTGAATTTACTTACTACCAGCATCATCACATAAATGTAAATCAATTCTTTGACAAAGAAAATGATATGAAGTTTCTACAACATCATATCTGGTAAAAATTTTAGAGATAGCAGTATTATATTGATTTTTTGTTCTTGATTGTTGAGATATTTGTGCTTGATACTCTGGCAATACCTAAAACCATGAAAATATACTTATCATATGATTGAAACTTTCTATTTTTTTTCCAAATTTTGCACTTACAGACCTCTAATTTTCTAGCTGCTTTAGTTTTACGCTCTAATACTGTAGCTTTTTCTATCAAGCCACCTAAAGAGTCAATAAAATGAAGTGCTGCTTTCAACTGTGAATCTGTTAAAACCCATAAGAGATCATCTAATATAAGAATCAGTCTTGATCCCATAACAAAACAATCTAAAATACAAATTCATATGTTATATCATTCTATCGTACTTAGAAAACAGAAGAATGGGAAATATATTTGTTACTTATTAAAATATTTTTAACCTGATATTCTTTTTTTAATAGTAATCCGACACCTTGCTTGATTTGTAAGTAAACGTAATGGCGTAAGGTTCTTATCTTTAGTACTTTGTGCCTCTATTCTAACTGTCTGCCATTCTAATTCTTTAAAAATAAGTAACTGTCCACGATCAGGATCTTTCACTCTAGTAGTCCTTAGATCACACCGTTGCCATGTTGCAGATTTCGATTCCACAATAATGCGATTCATCTACAACAAAATAATAATTTCATAATAGCTTCTAATAGATATGAAGGCAGATTTCATTAATAAATAAACCAATAACACTATGTACCTGAACTGAAGCAATGAATGCAGGACTTTTGAATGTAACTGATACAGTATTAACAGTCACTGTTATACCATCGATTACTTTATGTATAAAAGAATATTTTGCAGGACCAGTATATGAAGAAAGCCCTTGCGGAGAAGATAAATCTCTTAAATCTTCACATGTTTCTACTTCTATATGAACTTCGTCTAAACTCTATAAATATCAAGATCTAATCAAAATTTTATTATAACATAATATTAATAATTCTATTGTATTATGGAAAAGTATATCGACAAATAATTAAAAAAATAAATATATAAAAATGTACATAATTAATATGTATAAATAGACAGTTGTTATTTACCAAAAAAATAGGAACACTTCTTAATTTGGTCCATTGTATACGAAATGAAACTTTATTGCACCAAGCATTTGTTAATCTAAGCCATGACGGCAATTCTAACAAATCAGTTAAAACTATTTCATCAAGTTCTAAGTTTGTCAGTTCGCCTTCACCTTTAAATGCACTTAAATTTATTTTATCAGCAGATAAGTTCTTGGTAAACCTATAAATTTAAATAAATACACATAAACATCATATTGTGAATAAGAGACAATGGCATATTTCTTTTTTACAATAGATTTATCTTCTGTAAATTTATATATAACATATTGAAATCTGTTCATAATGCAGACATAAGATAACATTTTTATTTATATTGTAATTTTAAATAATTATCTGAGACTTGTCATGTTAACAATTACGTTAATAATTGTGGATAAACACGAAAAAATACTACTAATAATTTAACGATAATAATAATAACGGTAATTAACAAAATAAATAAAATTATCCACAATTATAATTTGCTTGTTCTACTTAATTAAGGGTGGTACAATTTTTAATTATACTGTGTAATTAATAATGAAATTTATTTAACAGCTTAGCGTGTAAATACCTTGATAAATGTTTCAATAGTTGCTTTTTTATTAATGACACCATTTTTTATTATTCTCAATTGATTTCTACGATGCCAAATATGCGTTTCAACATGGTTAATTTGACACTATACATTTACACCGAGCCACGATTATAGACACGGTCCGTCCATACATGCCACGATTGTCGACGACTTTCGACTCAAGTAGTCAGTAAGTAGACTACACTGCTAAATTTCTAGTTTCTTTCTCTAACTTTTTTCTTTAATGTCTTCCTCTCTCAAAGTTTCTAACTTTCGATTCTAAGATCAACAAAATATACCTAGTTACGTTCTTAATTTTTATATTACTGGAAAAATATTACTTTAACAAATAGAGTATCGGCCTGTTCTTAATACAATAAAATTGATCTATTTTTTAACATATTTATTTAACGTTCAAGATGTTGTTTCAAGCATTATTTCATTTACATGCATCTGTGCATTACAGAATTAGCGTATAAATAAGGCTTATCTTTTCGTAATGTTCCGAATTATATCTTTAAGTGCAATATACAGGGTGTCCCAATAAACATGGTACAATCGAAAAAAGTGATTAATTCTACTCTTGAAAAAATAAATAAAAAATGTAAAATAAAATTTTTTGATGAGGCGCTTCGCTTTCAATAAAATCAAATGTGAAAATTTGTTTAATATATGTAAATTTGTTTAATTACCGACAGTATGAGTAAGTAATCAGTAGAAAGTTATTCTATATACGAAAATAAATAAAAAATGTAGAATAAAATTTTTTCGTTTCAGGAAAATAGAATTTGAACTTTGAATCGATCAGAAGCTTTTAATTTATTTGTAATCCAAGAGAAAAATAAAATTTGAAACTTTGAACGTATTCAGTTAAAAATTAGTTTAGTACACGCGTACCAGATAAATTTTCAAATGTTATTTTTTTGGAAACGAATGAAGCATCCTATGGAAAAATTTTATTCTGCATTTTTGACCTATCTTCACACGTAAAGTAACCTCCTGTCAACTGTTCAGTTTATTTGTTGTCTTCAATACGGAATTAAACTTTATTATACTTCTAGGCTTGACAAATTTCCAAACTCGATTTTTTCGAAAACGGAGTTATATAAACAAATTTCGACTTGCTTGTTCACGTAGAATCATAAAAGTAACATTCAACATTCAGAAACATTCCTTGCCAATTATATAACTATACCTCTTGATTGTTAGAACTCTTTATATAACGATATAAATAATGTTAAAAAATATATAAGTTAAATAGATGTATAATAAACTGAAAAAATGTAAATCTTATCTTTAAATATTTACTCTTTAAAATTGGTCCACACACATATCACAAACAATCTTATGACACACGGTGAAAGTAGACAAATCGTTCTACTTATAAGTTTATGAAAGAAAGGCTAAATTTGCATTCTTTACATAGATGTCTGATAACTTTTCTATTTCTTCAATTTCTAATACACAAAGAACTTATCATCTTTACCTACTTAGGAATAAATGAACCGTTATTTTGTTTAGCTGTACTCATTTACATGTCCTGCAATTTATGCTGCTTCGTTTTCGCAGATTTTTTGATTCAAATTTCATAGATTTTAGAAAGAAAATGTGTAGTGATATATATATTGACATAATTAAGTTAATACAGAAATATATCATTATATTTACATATTATAATATTAGTTAAACATGTTTGAATTTAAAATAACCTAAAAAAATTTTCTTCTAGTCACCTAACCTAAGATAATTTACTAAAAAGTAATATAATATACGCGAGAAATTTTGAGGAAAGAACTGGAAATATAATATATTAACGTCAATAATACTTTGTGTTTACGTTTTGTAATTCATCTATTATAATTTGATAAAGCAAAATAAATCTACTTTGATTAACTCATTTCTATTATTATTACTGATAATGGCACAAATAAATCGTACGTATCTATTAATTAAAAGATTAGTTAATATATGCTACTAATGTCATCATGATTAATTATTTTAACTGTTACAGAAAGCATATGTTTAACATTACCTAAAAGTATAACAAAACAAATTAGTACATGTGAAAATAGTGAACAATATATTACGAATTTTCTACAAAATGCATTGCCTTCCTCTGATACTGGTTCGGTAGCAGATGAATTAAGAAAGGTATGATAATAATAAAAAATATATATATAGAATATAAATATATAATGAATAAATGAATAAGAATTATATTGTATTACTAATAAAATTTGATGTATTGAACACTCATATTAATTACCAGAAATTTAAATTATGACATGATTATAATTATTTTACAGTCACTAATATTTGCTAAGCATAAAAATAAATGGAACAAGAAAAAACGATGTCAAGGAAAGTTATTAACTAGTAGGAAACGAATGCAGCTTGGTTTACGTAAGATTAGTTGCAAAAGTGATATGAAATATACAGCATTGTTACCATTAAATCAGTTATGGCTAAATTATATGGAACAAGTACTCGGCTCCAAGTTTTTTAATAATATTCCAAAAGATTCTACAGATCCAAATTGGGAAAATGTTAATCAACAGTTAATTAAAGCAGATTTTCATGGTGCTGAAATTTCCATTGTTGGATCAAAATGTCCCAGTTTGGTTGGATTAAGTGGCATTGTAGTTCAAGATACAAAAAATATTTTCAGAATTTGTGGAAGAGATAATATTATGCGAAGTATGTAATTTGTATTTTATACATTTTCTATTCCTTTTTATGTCTCATACTTTATTATTATTCCTTTATCCTATCATTAATTCATGTTTATTTTCAGCAATACCTAAAGATAATGTTATTATAAATATTTATTTAAAAAACATAAAATTGGAGTTCTTTGGAAAAGATCTTTCTATAAGACCTACCGAACGAACAATAAAAAAGTTTAAATGTGGACGTATATACGAACTATAGTGAAATCTGTTGTAATTTTTGTAAAATTAGAAATAAACTTCCTTTTTAATATGTACAAAATGATTAATATATAGAAGCTTCCAAAGAAAAAGAAAGGAGAAGATTCTATTTTCAAGAAAATTGATTTTAAAAATTCATTGAGTATTCGTACATATGATTCATAAATATCACCTGCTGACTGAGTAGATAAATATTGTGCTAATAGGATATATATATATACACATATAAAACAAATATATTACTTTTCGAACAAAAATAATTAATTCTCTTATAAACGAGAATTTTTTTTAATAAATTCTTTTTTTTTAATAAAAAAATCTGGTCACCTTCGACATAGGAGTACCTGTGAAAAAAATTCTAAATAGAAATATATAATATGTAACGAAGAAATACATATAGGAATATAAAATTAATGTAAACTGTGTATTCAATTCATACAGTTGTTTATTGAAATAAATTTAATAGCGACAAATGTCTCACATTTTATACTGACTTTCAACATTACAGACATGTGATTTTGATCATGTATATGTATATTCGTGTAATTAACAACCAATTTTGGTATATTTATTTCTAAATTTACTAATATTTTATTTTAATCCACAATATTCAAACAATGATACAATTACATTATTATCTTTTTTGCAGAACGGTATTAGATACATTTTTCAATCTACATTTTCATTCGTTATATAATTTTAATGAAAGTGAAGTGATTATTGGGAATGTTACAGACTCTTCTTTGTATTATCTAATTTTAACATCTTTTATTTAATATATGCAGCTAAAATTACTGCAATCGCTAAATATCAAACGAAAGTTGCTCACAATGATCAGTATCGTTATTGCAACAAACATTATTCAAATATTTGAATAATATTCTGTTACATTATCATTGTGATATTATGATTTTCCAGTTTTCAACTTTTGTTTCATATTTATGAATAATGAGAACAATTTATAAGTGCATATCTCCTGCTCCTTTTGAAATATGTGACAGAAGAAAATGTCACTAAAAATGTGTTATGCAATAATGTTGCTCCTTTAGGAACATTGAATGTAAGATATGCCAGAAAAAGGTACTATTTTTTCCGATATACCTTTTACATCTTGTATTTGATCCTGATTTATTAGTAGAGCATTTTATACAGACAATATGAATCACTTAATGAACAGAAACGTCAACAAACACGATTCTGTCATTCTCTACATATGTATCGGAATCTGACTACCCAACTTGCATTAATACTTGTAATGTCATTATACATTAATACAATTAATATACTGAACAATACATCCAAATAGGATACTATACATACATTATGTAAACCAAATACAATAAGTAAAAAAAGAACTTGGTTATATTTCTAAAAAAATGAACACGTTAGTAAAACAAAATTGTTACTTAGTTCATATAATTTTATAACACCTCTGAGTTTTCTTTACAAGTGTTATAATACTTTAATGTAACGTGTACAAAAAAGATAAGATTATAATATTGTAAGCCAGCATAAACAAGTCTCAGTACATATATCCATACATCAATATGACGAGATCGTTATAAAGTTTGTTATATTTTCAATGGATTAAATATGTTCTCTGTCTAGTGAGAATATATCAGAGAGCTACCTTTGTTATCATTCTTTTTTCTTTTTTTTTCCTTTAGGAAAGCATGTAATATTACTATTCTATACTTCACATTTTGGCTGCCTGATCAAATGCTAAATTTGTTATTTATCCATGCCACAACAATAACACACACAGATACTAAACTTATATACTGACAGACATACAAACGTATCTCATATCATACTATATTTAAATTTCTAGATACATTACATACAGTTTACAGACTTCTCAGCTTTATTTTGCACTGTTGTTATACTGATGTACTGATATATGCCGCTCTCTTTAATTTATCTTGTTAGGTATTTCGAGGCTCATACATTTGACTGTGACAACAACGTTTTCATTGAATCTAAATAAATAGATCCTTTATTTTATTACTACAAATTATATATTAGAATAATATTTTCACCATATTTCATTTTCCATTGGATGGACATGAATATATGTTAGTTTTGAGTACTTATCGTTTCTCTTAATAATCACTTAAATATGTTTAGCCCAATTTTCCTCTTTTCTTTTACCAAAAAGGAAGCACTGTGTAATTTCATGACACATTTATTGAATTGAAACTTACAAATATTTTTGTTTAATATTGTTAATTTTATATTATCTTAAACTAAAACTTCTTTCAATACTTAAACAAAGGCACGTACGTACGCAATACATCGATATTCCGGTGAAAGTATGTTGATAGTTACTTTATGAAGTAACATAAAATAACCCAATTCAATTGGTAGAATGTAGAATGTTGCAATATAATATGGATTACTAAAATTATTACTATTGCATACTCGTTTAAACATTCGTTATACGATGTGAATTCGTAAAATATTTAAGTATTTTTTTTGTTTTTATTACGATTATTTCCTTTTTTCCATAAACAATGGTCAATGTGTACTCTTTAATTACTTTAACAGTAAATTAATTATTTTATAAATGTTACTCATAAACTAGAAATTCGCGCTTAAATATTTTGTAGTTTACTTTGAATTCATTATTTTTATTTATGTTACAATTATCTTGCGGCAACGCTTTTCTCTTTAATGATATTATTTTAGCATTTTATATAATTGTGAGCTATTGAAATAATCTTGTTCTACCTAGATATTATAGAAAAGTAGATTTTGTTGATCTCTGTTACTGAACGTGTTGCACATTGTGTTTCACATACCATAAGCCTGGTACGCTGCTGCAGGTGGTGCATAGACACCTTGCGGTGGTGCTCCATATACGCCTTGTGGTGCATAACCAGGTGCCATCATACCTGGTCCTGCTGTCAACATTAACTGAGGTTCCGCTATAGATAGAAAATACATATGATATGATAAGATACAAAATATATATAACACATATTTGTTATTTCTTCAAGAATTTTTTTCTATTATATCAAAAATAATTACATAATTTTCTGTTGAATAAGACTTATATGTTGTAAGAAATTGCTTTAGCGTATATATATAAAGAAAAGTTGTGAATCTTTATTTTTTGCTCCAGATTAATTTATAAAAAGATTGTTCACGTCATAACAAAAGAAAAACAAATTTTCCCCTTAAATAGCACTGCCATCTTCACGCATGTACAATTTATAAAAATTTCTAATTTATAGTTTTCTTTAATAATTTATTTAAATTCTTAAAAAATATTTAAACTAAGAAATAAATACTTACGCATAATCATAGGTTTATGTTCTTGATGATCAGTTTCTTCCATGCGGCGACTTTCAGCTTCTTCCAGTTTATCAACCTTTTAAAAAAATATATGTCATTATCATAATAATAAAATGTTGGCAATTAAATATATTGAATTATGAGAGGTATTACCTTAGTAATATATTCCCGTGCAACTTGTATAAGATACGGCATAGCGAAATGTAAAATACGATGTCTCCACGCAAGTTCCAAAATAACATCTGGATGAAGTAAATCATAACAATGAAACAGACATGCTGCGAAACAATCCTTTGATCCTCTCTCCAAGAACCACTCTAATAATTCTTGAGCAACTTCGGGATTGCGAGATTCTGCTGCATATTCCATAGCATCTCTATTCAGTTAACATAATAATTAAAATACTGAATAACGAAAATAGAAATAAATAATGAAAACTCATATAAATAGAATATTTAAATGTTTTACCTAAACAATCGATCCTTCTTACATAGTTCCACCGATTGTTTCCATCTGTTATTTCCTTTGTACAAGTATGCGGCAATTCTTCTAAATTCAATTAATTCATGTTTCTCCAGTTGTTGCGCTAACGCAATATTATCAAAATTATCGAACGCATCAATCGATGTTCTGAGTCCCTGATAATCTTCTTCGTCAATAAGTAGACCGTTTAATGCTTCATTAATTGCTTTATTATTTAATGCTTGAACCGACCTCAAGTATGGTTTTACAAGTTGTAAATGCCCTGTTCTCTTGAAATATGCAACTGCTCTCGTATGATCCATGCGTGGAGCAAGTACAAGTAGTATATCATTCAGAAGTAGGGGTTTATATTCGACATAAAACTGTATAGCTTTGTAATAAAGTTCAACGTTTGCCACTTTAGTAATCACATCTTTGAAATGACCTTCTCGCCATGCTTCAGTAGGGTGTTGCATCATTGCAAGGACTGCATTGTCGTACTCTTCATATTTATCATATAAAAATACAAGCTCTGCCCATAAATGTGCTTGCTCTGCTGCACGGAGTACCTATATATTTTATTAATAAATATAATACATTCTTTTCCATTTTGTTCATATTCAAATATTTTAAATGTAATTAATAGTATACCTTCGGTATATTAACTCGAGACCAGAAAAGTTCAAGATGTTCTCGCATTCGTTGAGGTTTATACTTGCTATAAAGTATAGCTAATTCAGTGAACATTCCCATATGCGCTCTTTCAAGTCCCAAAGCAGCTTCCAATAAATTAATAAGTTCCTCAAAGTGCCCCCGATCTTGATAATAATTGATTAAATCTTCTAATTCATCGGCATGTACGACTATATGTAATCCACACATTTGTGCTAATCTAAATTCTCCGCTATCCACACAAGCAAAACAAACTTCTTTCCAAGTACGAGTTGAATTCGCTTTGCGAGCGCTGTCAACGGCGCCTTGGAATTCTTTTAAGTGAACAAGCGTAATAGCTAATCGTGCAAAATTCGATACATTATTGTACAAAAGTTTAGCAGCATCGTACATCTTGTCGTCGAAACATCTATCGCCAATCTAATAACAAGTAATATAAATTTACATTTATGGACATAAATATATCTGTTTTAGAGATAATATACATAAATAAATATTACATATCTAATATGTATACATAAAACTTACCTTTTGTATGTCGGCATGATTAGGACCAGAAATAAATTCTTCAAGATCTGCAAGTCTATTGGTTCTTGCATATGCGTAAATTAATTCACTTTCAATGAAAGATTCACGCGCTTTTTTGCGAGCCATTTGCAAGTAACGAACCAAATCCTCCCAATGAGAAGTTCGATGAGTAGTTTCTACTACATCTACATACGCTGATGGATCGTCAGCCTTAATAAAACTATCTATGGCTTCTTTCACTAAACCTTGTTGTAATTGTGCTCTGGCTAATTGAGACCATACCGGCGGTTCATTACATCTATAAGAACAGACCATTAATTTTTAAAAAATGAATTACAATCAACCATTCTACTAATTATGTTATTCAGTTCATTAATATACTATTTCACGTTAAATTTCATACATAGTACTTTCTACAAATTTCATACATAGATACTTTCTACAAATTTAATTCATTATAGCTCACCTTTCAGCAAATTCGTAAGCTCTGTCTAAATTATTAACCTGCTCGATTAAAACTTGGATAGCTGACGTGTTCACATCGAATTTTTTAAAGATGGCAAAAGCTTCTTCGTATAACTCATTGTTAATAGCAATGTTAGCAATGTCAGGAGCGTCATAATTATCCAGCCGATTGATGTACTCCATAACACGCGTACGATCAGCCTTTATTGCCGTTAAAATCAAAAGATTTTGTAAATTGCGATGATCACTAAATACACTACTGTCGAGTACGATTTTCTCAAGAAGCTCAATTAGTTCATTGGGTAAATCAGCAGTCATAAATGCTTTAACAGTAACCGATATATCTTCAGGATCTTGTGTTTCTGATAAAGCTGTTTGTACAACCTACAAAGAAATCTCGATAATTTCATAACAATTGCATACAAGCATAGTTAAAATTATAAAAACAAATTTTCATTAAATGTTTAAAAAATTATTGACGCTACTTTTATCATTTTCCTTTACTGTAAACTTACCTGATCAATCAACGGCCTTTTGTAAGGGTTGCTTTCAAGAAGAACTTCAGCCCATAAATCTGGATCTCTACGTCTCACTAAATATCTAGCTTCACTTTTGAAAAGGCTATTTTCGTTACATACGCTTATCAATTCCCTATCGCATTGACCACGCTCATACGCAATACACGCTAAATGTGGATCACGTTTTTCACAATATTTTCCTACTACTCTACTATCATAAAATTGATTCTCTCTGTAAAATTAAAATTTAGTTAATAAAGAACATTTTATATAATATATTTTTTTGCTATGTCAAGATATATTTAGATTTACTTACTTAAGAAATCTCTCTGGATTATTATTACTGTCAATGTATATCTTCGCTAGTGCATTATGCGTTGCAGGTTCAACACAACCTTCATGGACACGAGACTCCAGCCATGGAAGTAAGAGCTTCAAACGGTTTCTCTTCTCAACTTCTTCTACAAGCTCGTCAGTAGAGAACTGACCACGTACCACAAGAATTAAATTTTTTATTATATCCTCTGAGCAATCTACATCAAGTAAACCACCCACTACAACTGGTAGACGTGACGGATTTACCTAAAATTAAACCACCATTATAATAAATAAAGCTAGAAACTATATTGCAATTATTATTTGTCGTAAAGTTTAGTCATTACAAAATTTATAACTCTTATATTAAATTCGATGCAGAATGACGATTAATGAAACTTACTTTTTGAACGTAAATTTCTATGTATTTTTGTAAATTATTTCGGTAGAGATACAGTACAAGATCATGTACAAAATCGAATCGATCACAAACAATGATCAAAGGTAACTGGTCAGATAATTTTGCCTCTTTGAGGAAATTTTTTACACGTTCTGGATTGTAACAATTACTTTCTCTACAAATTCGTTCCACTTCTTTAATTTGTCCAGTTTTACATGCTGCTTGAATATATTTAAAATGTACTTCTTGATCTTGACTGAAATTAACAATAGATCCCAGGAAATAAAACAGTCCCTCATATGATTTAAAACTTTCAAATAGATCTGAAAATAATGATTATATGAAGTAAATAAACCAATACATAGTAATATAAATAACATAAATCAATATATGTTTAAAATAACATTATTAGCAAATTATAAATACCTATCAGTGCTTTAGTAGTCAACTGTTCATGATATTTTGTTGCAATTTGAATACAGATTTGTAAATTCTGTCTTATGTTAGCAGTCAACATTGCCTTCAAACATTCCAAAGAATCTTCAACTGATAATGTTCCAAAAAATCCTACAAGCCAATCCGGAGAAAGTAAATGTGTATGTACTACAGCTCTCTTAATGTCATACAAATCGGTGTAATGTTCCAAAGCACGTTGTAATAAGCCAGCTTTTTCACATAACTGTGCAATGTGAGCTCTGTCATAGTGTGTGAACATTTGATTTCCTAAAATTGCATCAGCAACTTGTGGAGCAGACATTAAGTTCATTTCTAAAAGTCGTGTTTGTAAAGCTCCTTCACTTGGCCGATTATTTTTCAAAGCATCCAATAAAAATGCTGTACATTGTTGAACCATGTTTTGTTCCATGAATATATCCACAATTTGGTTGATATCGGCTAAGGGTTCATCATCTTGGACCAACATCTGGGCGAATGCTACACCCTGATCTGGATTAATTCTCATGACATTCCTTAACAAAAATATATAATCAGGGGTATAAGAAACTTTCTTAGCATACAGTACAATTTTCTGGAATTGTCCAGTTTCTGCAAAACATTGTATAACTTTATTAGGGACATTAGCTCTTAAATAAACACTAAGAGCTAAAGTTGGATCAGCTTGTTTCACTAAGTCACCCAATTCTTCGCTACATTCTAATTTATCTTCTTTCAACCATTTCTCAAGAAGCTGCTTACGACCTTGCACAAGCACTGGACGACATAATTCTAAAGATTCATATTTATTTAATTGTCCTTGATCTAGAAGTATTCCAAAATATTGCAATAAGGGTGATGTTTGTCCTTGCGTAGTTGGTACCTGTTGAAACCGTTGAATAGTCGCCGGAGTTCGGAGTATTCCTTTCGGAGCATTTGCTGCAACTTTGGCTGCTTCCGCGTATTGACCATTTTGGAAAAGCAAATTAAATTTCCTGACGAACAAGTCTTCAGCTCCTGACAAATTATTTCTTACAGCCATTCGCAATGCAAGTTCAGAATTTTGTAGTACTCCATTTATATATGGAATTATGTTTTCTTCATCGACGGATACAGATAATACTTGACCTTTCCGATTTACTCCTATTATACCACCAGATGCTTCATGCGGTGCAGTGACAAAAATAGTTTCTCCAGATATGCGATTCATAAATATACATGTAGCAGATTCAATATCATACATATGTATATAGCCATACTTTGTTATTAAATATATAACATCATACTTTGAGCTGACTTGCATAGCAACAGGAAAGTCATTTCCAGCTTCTGGTGGGAAAAAAACATCTACTGCCTTCTTTGGGAAAGGATGATTACCAGCAGGAGGTTGACCTACTTCGATAATATGGAGCTTTGCACCTTGTACTGTTCTGACAGCAAAACAAAATAAGTTACTTGGTTCTGCGTTTCCTTCCATTTTAAATTGGGCGAAAGAAGCAGCATGTCCTTCGATTGGTTGAGAACATTTTCTCTCGACAGAATAAAGTTGCATAGCACCAACCACTCTATTGTGCTGAGCAGAAATACCAATCAATAATAGCCATGTTTGTTTTGGATCAGTTCTATAATTAATTATTTGACAGCCATTTAGTGACGAATGTCTGTCAAACATTTTATTCGGTGTAGATTCTCCTTCCATAGACCAGTGATAAACTGCAGTTTCTGTTACCAATGCCAAAGTATTTAATGATATCCACTTCCAAAAGACTACATCTTCTGTCATTGTATGAGCTTTCATTTTTGATTTCATTTCTATGTTAAAAATCTGAAGAGTTTTCATTGCTAATAGTAAGAATAAAATATGTTACTAAATTTATTATTAGTTCCATGTATTTATTTTATATTAATTATTACCTTTTAAAGCTATTACTTTACTTGCAGGATTCATGATCGCAGAATCTGCAGAAATAGGTCTCCTGATTGGATTTGCAGAATCATTCATATCGATAATAACTACCTGTGCAGTATCACCAACTTTTTCTCGAACACAAATAAATTTATCAGATTCCATTGTGAGTGTGTTAAAGCTGACATTGTTAGCATTAATCCCAACAGCTGTAAGCTAAAAAAAAGAAAATGACAAAAACAAATTATTATACTGAGAAACAGCTCTTTAATTGAAATATATCTAAATATTCTATAAATTGTAATTAGAATATCTTATTCTTTAAATAACTTTAATGTATCAAAATTATTGGAGGGAGCTTTTAATATAATTTTATATTAAACATATTTAATAATTAATTTAAGATAAATAAGCATAAAAGTGTTCCACATTGATTTTTATCTAATCTGAAAATTTAATAAAAATTGTTATTGAACTAAATTATATTTCACGCTAGGAATTAATTTCATCAGCTTCAGGAAGATGGGAGAAATAGATTAGTTAAATGCAGTTTATCTGGAATGTAGAATAAAAAATACATAATGATACATGATTGCAATTAAAAGCTATTTCACGCGAAATCGCAAATCACTATTATAAAGAAGTAAATTACAGACGAATTAATGAATCATAATCTAATTCCATATTGCTATCGCGAGATTTGCGAAACATAACGAATATTTTAATTAGAAAATTCACGATGTATAAAGACGGAAATAAGGGGCGTATATGTCGAGTAGACGTGGCCCTCGTTGATAAAAAAAATCAATTTATTTTTCTCGTCGACACTGCTATACAGAATAATATTATGATTAGTTAACCTCTAAATATCCTATTACGAACGTTCATATAAATTGATAAAAATTTAGTATAACGAACGAACATGCGATCACTATTATACCTGTCAAAGTAATGTCAATTCAAAAGTATTTTAACGGAATTTGTATTTCCTCGTTACAGCAATAAAACTGGCAGCTAAAAATTTTCTAGAAGAACGTTATAATAGTAAAATGAAATTGAAAATGTAGTTGGCGAAAATGAAGCTGTTTGACGACGTGTCGAAATAATAGAAGAGCCGGGTACGAAAGCAGGTCACCTACCTGGAGATGTTCTTGAAACCTTATGGGTAGTAACTGCGTCATTTTCCTAATGTTTTCCCAAAATTTTCGAGGTTTTTCAGCCGCGGTTACCTAATGAAAAATCTATCGCGGCTGTCTATCGTTCCTATGTACAACTGTTTTGGCCTATAGTGCGCTCTTCTCAACCAAAAAACCTCGGTCCAACCATCAGCGCACAAAACCAACTGACGCAAAGTGAATGCCGTCACTACTTGCCGCTGACACCCATCATGGCCGCCAATGACCGCCCCTCTATCTAAAAATAGTCCCTCAAGTACAAAAGTGTTTCGATCGATCCTATATTCTGATATTGCCAAACGTTTGTAAACGCATCCAAATAGTTACATTATACGAGACCTGTAACCGAATATCGAATAACCACAATTATCTTTTTAATTCCGTCAATTTAAACGTTCGGTAGCGTAAGAATACACGTAACTGGATTTTCTAGCAAATCTCTCCAACATCACCCCTTCCTTTCTTCAATTCTCAACCCCCACTCCTTGCTATGAATGAAGCTGCAACGGCGCACAATTGAGTACATTACGTATACGTTTTCCATCATGTACATTTCCTCGTATAGGAAATTAATATCCAGTCTCACTAGCGCTTACTACTACAGTAAAGGAAATAGAAATCAGAATTAAAAGTTGTATTATAACATGATTTTTCAAGAATTTGAAGTTTTGAATCACATATCTATGCACGAAGATTGTTGCAATATTAATTCATAAAATTTGAGCTCTATAGGTATTTATAACTATTCGACAATATATAGATACAAATAGATAATTAAGAATTAATTGAATTAAAGTACGTTATGTTGCAATATCAATTCAGAAAATTTAAGGTCTATAAGTATAGACCTTATATATATATATATATAGACACAAATAGATGATTAAGAATTAATTGAATTAAAGTACGTTAAGTATGTTGCAATATTAATTCATAAAATTTGAGGTCTATAGGTATTTATAACTATTCGACAATATATACACACAAAAGGATGATTAAGATTTAATTGAATTAAAGTATGTTAAGTATCAATTTAATAAAATTAAGTATTAATAAATTAAAAATAAAATTTATTTCATTTTCAGAGCTGTTGTCAAAACTGTATAATACATATGTTGCACAAATATTATACAGATATAATTGTTGGTCATTTTAATCAAAGAGACCGAAACCCATGTCGTCGTCTTCCGATTCAGATTCCTCTTTCGCTGGTTTTTTCTCTTCTGTAAACAGAAATTATGTGAATAATTTTTATATAATTTCTAATTGTATTATATAGTCATATAACATTTACCTTTCTTTTCTTCAGCTGGGGCTGCTGCACCTCCTGCAGGTGCAGCATCTGCACTAACAGCTACAGCACCACCAACTGGCATGGATAATAATTTTTCCATCCCTGAAAGAATCAAACATCTTTTTGTTAAACTGACCTGTGTTAGTAGAATGTCGAATAATATTAATACATTGATATCAATGAAACAAAACAGTTTTTAATCAATTTGACAAAACATTATTTCCAAAACAAAACAAACCATGTTAAGATAAAAATAGATATAGACAAGTCATTTAAAAGCCTTACTGATCAATTCTATAAATTGGAAAATAGAGAAAAATTGCGATCATAAACATTATTTTTAAAAATATATCTTGAAATTTGCGATTATTTATGCCATTTCTTTGTAACAAATAGGTTCGTGAAAATAAGCCCTTTGTTTCTTAACCCTTTGCGCTCAAGAGGCGACTCAATTGCTACAGCATTTCATACAGCAACTCGAATGGCGAGTGAGAAGCAAGTCTCTGTTAGATTTCATCATCGCCAATTAATGATAGCACAGTATTTTTCGAAAATAGGTACCTTAGCTCTTTATGTTCTTTGTTAGGAAGTGTGAAGTGTCACACTTTGAAATGGGTATAAAAGATATTTAATCTCAAACTCCTCCAAAACCATGGTTCTGACGTCTCCTACATTAGTTCGGATTCGATGATTTTGATTGGTGGCTTAGAAGCCCTAAAAAATGGATTTTGGAAATGAAATTTGTTCAAATGAAGATGAATTTGATTTTGAATTGTTGAGAGACAAGATCGATCCATGAAGGATAAAGAAAATGAAAGCAGTGATGGAAATAGTGACATAGTATTAAGTGTAAGAAATCGAAAGATTAGAATAGTAGATAGTAAATCCAAAAGTGACAGTGATGCCCCATATAATCCTAATAATTCAGAATAGACACCTTTTGAAGAATCTAGCGAAATACCGCCGAGAATAAAATTCATAGCCGATGAAAAACCTGGAAGGCCACAGGTATCCTCAAACGTTGAACCATTGAATTTTTTAAAGATATTTCTTACCGATAAATCAAATAATAACTGAAACAAACGGTTATGCTGCAAGAAAGATATAAGAGGGAGAATATTGTTATAACATTCAATTTGGCAAATATGACATAATGTCACCAAAGAAGAATTTTGGCCAAAGTAAGGATGCATCTTGGTGAATGCTTTATAAATTACCATACAAAAAATACAGAAATTAATATTACAAAATCACATTTTTAAAAACGGAAATTTTTTAAAATAAATTATTAGAATATAATGTTCTTGTAAGTTAATTTGTGTATATAATCATTTTATGTTACCTGTAAGACACTTATTACATATGCGCAAATCATCTCGAGTTGCTACTTCACCAGACTAAGAAAGTCATTAAGCGCAAAAGGTTAAAATATTGAATGTGTATCTGACAAAACTGAAACTTGATGAAATTGAGAAATTCATATAAAATACAGCTGATTAATTTAACTTCTGACAGACTCGCATAATAATTGTTTCTTTTATAGATATTAGTAAAAAAGATATTTTAAACATTGAATTATTTCATAGTTTATCTATACACATGTATGTGTTAATATTTAAATTTAAAGAAGTTGTACCTTGTGCAATAAGTTCATCTACTGATTTTCCATTCAGTTCTGAGATGACTTTCTTAAGCTTTTCTGTATCAGCTTCAATTCCAACGGATGATAAAATTTTTTCAATATCATTTTGACTAGGAGATGCTTTCCCTCCCAGGGTAGCTAAAAGATAAGCGGCCACGTAACGCATTCTGAAATAAGAAACACATTTTGAATGCTCTTTTGAATCTAATATCTCGTCATTATTTATATTGATCAGTTTCTTTCAGCAAGAAATTGCCATCACAGTTCTCAGTCGAAAGATGGTGATTATTTATATCATCATATACAGTGCATATTAGTATTATACATAAGTGAATTTGGAAACAAATAACATTCGTTTATCAAGAAAAATAATTAGCATTAGATATATAGGAATCTAAATATAATTTTTTACGTCTCCTTACACTGAAATCTATTTTTGCGTTTCAGATACTATTAACTATACAGAGTGTATAAGATATTTGTATAATTAATTATTCGTATAATAATTTGTACAATTACATAATATTGAAATAATAAAACTTAAAATATAATAATATAATTAACTATACTAGAAAAATTATGAATAACAAATACACGTGAATAATGAAATCTTTATTGTATCGTAAATCATCTTGTAATGTAATATATTATATTATAAATAAATTTAATTATTTAATATATGAATAGGTGGCACACTTAAAATGAACAATATTATTTATTATAAATTACGTTTAAATACATATATTTACCTTTAAGCCTTGCGACACGAAACGTGTACACGCTCAAAAAGAAAAGTACATTCACTTCGAAGCGTTGATAGAAGGTAAAGAACATAGAACACCAAACTTTAAAGGAAGGAAACATTTATATCTATTGAAACGCCATCTATCGTAGACAAATACAATTAAATTTCCAACTTATATAATTTTTATTTCTACAACAATATGAATTTATATAATAAAAAAATTGATATATATAACACTCTCAGAACAAAAATATTATTATTAAATAAAAGTATAATTACCATTTATTGTCGCTTGGCAGGAATTAAATATTACATACTTCGTTTTTGTTTTTTTATAACTTTTATTATTACGTTTAGTTACAAGAGTAAGTCAAGTTAATGTTATTAATTGAAACACTACTTTAAAATTAATTCTAATTATTTTATTTCTAGTTTTTTATTATCTAGTTTATTTCAAGTTCTAGTTTATTTTGTCTCCTGGTTAACAATATCTCCAAAAGATGGCGTTTGATGATTTGATCTTGAGTTTATTTTTTCCTTTGTTTTACCAGAGAAAAAATGAAAGTGCTGACGCCCACGATCATATAAATAGGTCTCGACACTTGCTAGGGAAAACCGTATGAAAATTGAGTCGTGTTATAATCGTGAAAAATCATCATGAAAGATTAATAAAGTACACGATTTTACGAAGGTGAAGGAAATGAAAAGAGTGTCCCTATCTCTGTTTGTGGTATTCATTGCGTGTCAAAGGTGCGCAGGACGAGAACTTCCATGTTCTTCCATGTTGGTTTTTCACAAGTTAGTTACGACTCAATTTTCGAATAATTTTTCCTAAGCTCCGGCAAAGAGGAAATCTCTTTGGCTTTGGTATATGAGTCTCAAGACCTGTTTATATAATCGTGTTTACACTAATTATTATAGTTTTTCCACAGTACAGGTGCTACACCAAGCGGTCACATGCTGGAAGATGTTCTACGCTAGCATATACAAGAACCTATTTACATAGATTCACCACAAACGAGATATAATCGCCTATGTGTCCACTCTACAGAATCTATTTCATTGTACGATTCTACGGAAAAGTTTATACTTTTTTATCCGATAAAAACACTTATTAGAATAACAAAATCGCACAATAATTACACTAAGTTACCTCAAAATGAGAAGTTAATGGTTTATTAAATTTATTTTAGAAAAATTAATAAGTATATTTTTATATCTTTATACATTCTTTTAATATTAATATTGTATTTTCGTAAATATTAAATTTTTACAATTTATATTGATAAATTTTTGATTATTTTTATTTATTATAATACGCTTGCATATTCTTACAATTTTGCAGATGAAAATTGTGATTAAAATATTTAAAACATAAGAAACTGCTGTACCAAGAACATAATTTTTGATTAATTTAAAAAAAATAAAAAACCACGCATTCGAATTCTTTTGGGACTGTTTACTATGAACCTAAAATATTGAATGAACACTCATTCGAGATTTCACAGTTCTTGCCATCTCCTTGTTAATCATAGCTGTATAGAGTATAAATATTTCTGTTCCTTTTTTGCTTTGACTCCTCTCCCGCCCTTGTCCTTTTTAATATCATAAAAAAAAAGAATTTAGTTAAACAATATTGCATCGGATAACAATTAGCATTAGCAAACAATAGATGAAACTGATACATATGTATTACTAATTTGGTTATAAATAAATTATTAAAAATTGTCTTTCCTTTTTTTATATTTCTCTTAAAACTTACTCATTTATTTACAAGAAAAGTTAGGAATATTAAATTATTTTCGAATATTAGATATTAATTGTTAGAATTGGAAGAATTATTAGATATTAATGTTACAATTGTATGTTTGTTTCATGAATAAAATTTACATTAGGGTGTTTCGATATACCCTCACTCGTCATAACAGAATTATCATTATTATTTGATTATATCATATGTTGCTTATTTGTATCTGCTAAACTCTATTTTATATACATTTCATGTATGTGAACGTTTCGTTTTCCAAATATTTTCGTCGCTCAATAACCGGACGACGCCAATGCTATAAACGTATGTATATACAGGGTGGTTGGTAACTGGCGGTACAAGCGGAAAGGGAGTGATTCTACGCGAAAAAAGAAGTCGAAAATATAGAATAAAAATTTTTTTTTTTATTTTTTTTCTTTTCTTTTAATTTTTCCATCGAGACAACGATCTACAGTGAGATCCGTTATAACGAGACGTGATAAAGTGCACGCGTACCGAGTCAAAATTCAAAGTCGATTTTCTCGAAAACAAAGCCTCAAACGAAAAATTTGTATTCTATATTTTCGACTTCTTTTTTCGCATAGAATCCCCCCCCCCCCTTCCACTTACCAACCACCCTGTATAATATGTTCGCGTTTCTGTGAAATTTCAACATGGTAATATATTAACAACTTTTTATTGAGGGCTATTAATGATTCTTCACTATTATGCATTTATCGCTATTTATTATTACTTATTTATTACTATTTATTATTACTGCTTTATTAATGAAGAGGCTCAGTAGATTATTCTATTAACATTTTATAAATCAATCTCTTTATAATATTGCATCTAGTATTACAAAATATATCCAATAATGAAATAAAAGGAAATAAAATTCTATTATTGTAATACTTTAAGCTTTTCAGATCATTTTATTGATTGCACCTAATTAGTGGTAGAATGAACAAAATCATTTAAAATCACTAGTAGCCATGGATTTGCTTATATGTAATTACAATATAAGTTCATTAAATTAAATTTAATTACGTGATCTTCTTTTCATCACATTCGGAAAAAAATGATAAAAGATCGATTACTTTTTCGAAAATAATATTTCGTATATTTATACTACAAAATAAGACTAGGTTTTAATTGTCGATGTTAAAATGATTTTTTATTATCCTTCCAATGAGATGAAGTGCTTGAAACATTTTGTTTGGATTAAGTCGTTGTCTAAGCAAATAATAAGAGAGAGCCCTTAGACAGATAAGGATAATTATTAAAGCGATAATGTCAACCCAAAAAACCACATGTTCCATCTCTGAAACAATAATTAAGACATTGAATTACAGCAAATAATATATTTTGAAGTCTTTTAAGTACTTTTAGGAGACTTACGCATTGTTAGTAAAACTTGTCGAGGTGTTCCGAAGGGGCAGAATATTTCTGCAGGCGGACAGTATAGCTTTTCTCTGTTGTAACCGTACAAAGCAACTAGAAGACCTTCTATACCATATCGAATGTAACTTAGATACATTATGAGTTTACGATAGATAGATAAACTTTCCGTTTCGCCGATTCCTTGTATAGCTACCAACACTAGTGGAGTGGAAATTGCAGGCCCAACAAATGTACCATTCTAGAAGATAATTAACGTCAGAGAGAATAGTCAAGATTTCGAAATATTAGTTGGTAATCGTCAATTAGCTCACGGTGTTATAGTATTATCATTACTAATAAAGGGGTAATACGAAACATACTACGATGTTCAGTGTGCTGGCAATAACTAATGCCATACTTTCTGCGATAAACGCGCACATGAAGCAAATACTAAAAAACATTGCACATCTGGACAACTCCAGAGGTTGATTTGTGATCACATATACTATCAATAAATATATCGACGATAGTAATATCTGCAACGTCGATTTGTTGATTAGAACGTTGTTTCACTTTTAAATAATTTATAAAGTTGCCATATTGTATAACTTTTGATGAAATCCAATATGCCTATTACCTGTAATATGTTCTTACCTGTCCAGGTATATTAACTATTGTAAATGCACAATAATAGGGACTCAAATCGTACCACATGTTGAAATATTCTCGTTTAACCAATTGCACTTCCGAAGGAACTGTAATTTTAAAATTAGCTAAAAAGTATAATCGAATTTGAAGAAAACAACAATGAAAGTTGGTAAGATAATAGAGGATAATCGATCGAAAATGTAGTAGAACATTCGGTCGGAGGTTCTTTCATATTCTACCATTCAAAGGATTCTTAGCAACTTGTTAATTATTTGTTAATTAATTAATTTTTAATTGTATAATAATGTTATTATCCATTAGGAAGTTCAACCTATCTTTTTTAAATAAACGCACATTAAGAATCATCGATTCACCTCATGTAATTATTGTTTCCTTACAGTGCATTAATACCGGTGACATAGGTACATAGAGGAGAATTATCAAACAAGCAAAGCAGAAAGTAAAGTTGGATAAGGTTTTCGACCCATCGTTTCCAATGTTTAAAAATAAACTACCAACGACGAAGCCCAGGAATATATATAAACTTATTTTTAAGTACATATAACTCTGCAAAATATTAAGCATTTGTTACGTTACGTTTTTCTTCCAAAATCTTCCATCCATTCAATTTTATAATTATTTTGCACCTTATTTCTACGTAACTGTAATAACATTCTTCTTGATAGAACAACAAATTGTTTGAACCAGGACACTTTCGATATTTTTGCTTTGTATTGAAATTCGAACCTCGTTCGTCGAGAAACAGGAACGATAGGAAATTCTGCGTCCACAGCATTTATCATTCGACTTATCCATTCTGAACCATATTCGCCCGCAGATATTTCTATCACTGTAACGATAACAGTTTAGTTTTCGAGCGATATATGAATTCAGTCAATAAATAAAGTTAATTAGCTTATTATTTACCAAAATCGGCAGGATTGTAGTGTTTCGGGCATTCAATACCAATTTGTCGAACAAATGGTACCAGATTATGTACAGTGCTTCTATAGATACATTGGCCAGCGGCTATAACATAAATGTGGTCGAATTTTGCGAAAATGCTTGCACTTGGAGTATGGAGGGAGCAGATTATCGTTCTCCCCAGTCGCACCAAAGATTTTAAAAGGTCGGTACACTGTGCAGCTGATATTTCATCTAGTCCTCTAGAAATTGAATGGGTGGATTGTAGAGCAAACATTGAAATTTCATTATTTCTTTCTTAATAAACGATATAAAGTACTCACGTAGTTGGTTCGTCAAGAAACACAACAGGAGGATTACTCACGAGTTCCAAAGCGATCGAAAGTCTTTTTCTTTCGCCTCCCGATAGGCATTCGGTAGTTGTATCTTTTGCATGACGTAATCGCAAAATATTTAGAATTTCATCTATCTAAAATTATGTAAATGTTCAGTAGTGGATATAATGGATTGATACTATGTCAATAATCCATAGATTTCAACAAATTTTTAAAAAGCTAGTATTATTACGTCGAAATGTTTGGATCTCTTGTTTCAAGACTGTCATCGAGTGCGCGACGAGAATATAAATACTGTGCACGATCAAATGCATCGTATTCTGAGTATTCTGAGAACATAATTTAAGATTGCATACAAGAATCGCATTTTTAATCAAACAGATTTTTCCTGATATTTTTTACATACACCATACGAAAGAAATATGTTTTTGTTCTTATGCAATTGTATCGCTAACGCGTAAAATGCTTACAGCGATCGATTTTGCTTTTTGGGAAATGTTGCCAAGTTTCAAATCTACAGCAAATTGCATTGCCTCTTGCACTGTAAGCCATGGTTGAAGAAGATCTTTTTGCATTATGTAACACGATATTTTTTTAAAATAAGTCTCGTCTCGAGTTTGTCCATTGATACTTATGTGTCCCGTAACACTATCAGCCGATCTGAAAACGTTAGCTTTGATTTTGAAATCGAAAAAAGTAAAAAATGATGAAAATAAAATTGTTAGTCATGTATCTATAATAGCGAGCAGCTAATCTATCGATCTTGACTTAGACAAAGTATTCACTTATTTATTGTAAAGTCTACGACGTAAACCGTGCGGTCAATGACCTTTGACATGCTGATTGTTCTTTTAAGCAGAATAGTCTAATTTAAACTTCATTAAACTTAATTAAAATACGGATAACGCAGCGTGACGATAAATCTTTCATATATTCATTTGAATACAATTGCTCAATGCATTTATTACACTACATGTAAGTACTTTATTCTAGTTATGTGAAACATTACTTGTATCCTGCGAGAATGTTTAACAAGGTGGATTTTCCGGCGCCTGATGGGCCTAATATAGCGGTTAATTCTCCAGATTTAAATTGTCCACAAATTCCTCTTAATATTACTTTTGTACCTAAGACATATGAGAATAGAACATTTCATTATTTTACAATATTATACAAAAAGAATGCAAGGTTAGCAGATACACTATCGAGATGAAAAGTAGATGAAAGTTCTATGTGTAGTTTTCTGATAATATCCGATGATAAACAAGTAGTGTAACATAATTAAACAAGATTTCGAAGAACATATAACATGATATAGTTCCCTGAATAATTTTAGTATTTTTCTACACAGTCCTTTAATTATTTGCATACGATACATATTTATCATATTGAAGTGATGAAAGATATTAAAATCTAATCTTGTATTATATAAAACTACACATTTTTATTTGAAGGTCCAATGAATTAATTCATGACCTTTTTATTTTAGTTATTTAATTATCGAATCAGTGAATAATTTATCTTCCTAATGTTTTATTGCATGTCAAAATACCTATTTTAATAAGATTTATCGCGAACAAGTATTAACGTATCATACTTAACTTGTTTACTGTAATACCAATAATTAAAAAATTATACAGCAATAAAATTTGTTTTTGCTATCGTAGATTCAAATATGATTATCTAATATATATTTACTTTTCGTATTACATAACATCTACTGTACCTTTACCAAATCGATTGGCTTAAGCATGATAGCGTTGATGTGTTTAACTTAATTTACATCTTTTGCTTTTTAGAATTGTAACTGATTGTGAGTTACGCATTAAACAATTCCATTCTATACAATATGCATGCTTTGTTTAAAAAATTGGTCTTCGATCGTGTTCAAAACGAATATACCTTTTCTTATTTAAAAGCGCTTAATTATAACTTTAAATAAAATAAAACAAGAATAAGATGTTTTATTCAAGTATGATATTGTTATTTGTAAGTAGAAAGATTGTAAACATAATAGAACTATAGAAAATAAGTCATGGAGTGAATGCAGCGCTAAAACGATTAAAACCACAACAAAACAAAAAGATTTTTGTGGAATCTTTTTACCCGATAATTTTATAAGAATAATTCTCTTTAAGGAATTTTGGAAAGGAATTTTAAGAAATTTTTAAAGAATCAATGTTTCGAGTAGACATTTTTGAGTTCTTAACCTATTATTATCTTTCTTTTAAAAGCATATTATTAAAATTGCAATATAGAATATCGAATATACTTTTTCACGGATATGTTTCAGACGAAACGGAGCTTAAATAAAAAAATGAAAAATTGCAATATATATTTATTTTAAACATATTTGTTCTATTAGAACATAAGAAAATATTTAATACTTAAATTATAAAATAAAATTTGAATGCTTCAACTATTGTATTCAAACAGTATAGCAATGTTTATATTATCGTACCTTTTCTACCACGAGGTACTGTACAAGTTAAGTCATTGAATTCGATGTCAATAGGGGTTGTTATTTTTGAATATGATGGTGATACTGGGGTGTTTTGCATTCCATTGCTGCTCTGCTTCTCCTTGGACTCCGATTTTGTGGACATGATTGATCAGTAGTTTCACTAATTTATATCCACTTTGTTCAGATCATTATTCAAAATATGTAAGTACCTTCCTCATACCTTGACTAACTTACCGCGTTAAAAATTCCCTAGTGAGTTTATAAAAACATTTTCAAACATTTAAAAAACTCGATTACGTTCTATGAAATTATTTGTGATCGAGCTTGACGATGATAAACAATAACCTTTTACGAACTTTTCATAAATGATTACAAAACATTTTTATGGATAAATCGATGAAGTATGAGCATCCGTTTAGATAAATTTCACTCGATTAATTAAGTCAAATACATATAATTGGAAATAGCAGCAAGATTTATCGAAGACGAGTTAATAAACGTGTAATAGTCAGAGCAACACAAATTTTAAAATTATTGAAGATCTAAAACATTAATAAAGCCATACGGTTTTCTTTTTAAAAGAGAGTCACTGAATGGGAAAACTCGTAGGGACAGTCGAACGCTCAGTACACGGCAGATCGTTATAAAAGACTGAAGTTGAAATAGCTTTAACCGCTTCCCTATTCTTAACATTATACATACATGAATGTATCGGGTGGTACTATAACGATATTGTACATTATACATTTGTACATTCTGAAACGAAGTAACTTGTAATTAAAACTCATATACGTTAAGAAATAACTTCCTCTATGATAGCTTACATGATTGAAAACAAAGATATATTGTAACAAAGAAACCATTAAAAAATACGCGCAAAGTCCAGTGTGAATCATACTATACGCAATGTTTGTATATGTTCCATAGATACGATATACATATGTATAATGCATTACGCACCGTGATAACGAACCAAGATAAAGAGAAAGTATTGCCGCTATAAAAAAACAATAACCAAATTTCAAGTTTCGTCTTTTCACCTATTTACCATTAATCAAATATATAAATATATTCAACTGTAGAAAACCTATTGGTATACTACATTGGTATGGTACTTTCATCTACAAAATATGCAGCAATATTTTCTTAACATTGTCCTTTTTGCATTGTTTCAATAAAAACGAATAACATCCTTTGTAGCATGTATTCTTCCCATAATCTTGTTATTCTTCTTTATTTACATTCAAATATGTTTTATATAACTTCTCGATTGCTTTGCTTTGTTACTTTTCATGACACAAAAAGTAAAAGCAATGTATTAATATTTATTGTAGTACTTCGTAAAATATCGTGATATTGATTGAAGAGTACTGTAAAATAGAAATATTAATAAATGCGCATTTAGCTTCCCATTATTAGTCATTTATTATCAATATTATCTAAATTAGGTTGCATATGTGTTACTTATTCTGTATATATGTACTATGTATACTGCGATTTCTTGTCATGTTAAAAATAATACCACGCTAAACAAGTATAAGCTTCTGAATCTTGAAGTGTAACTGTCGCAAATTCTAATCGAAATCAAGTTCTAATATACATATAATACGAAAAAACCATTTTAATTAATTTAATATTTAATTTTTTATTAAAGTAATGTAACCAGCAAATGCGTTAAAACACTGATAGATACCATTCCAAACCATTAGAAAATTGGGAGTTTTTCAAAAAGCAATAAAAAGGAGCACGAAGCGGGGGAGACAATAAGCTCATAATTCACTAATATTTTGGATTTGGATAACACAACCATACGTTTTAATATCTCCTTGGATTTAAAAACTAAATTGTTACGTTTGATACGAAATAAACATCTTATGTAAATGATACTTATACATACTTATATAAAGAAGGAAAATTACCACTACTTTATGAAATTCAAATGATAATTGAGAAAATAGTCTTAAGCATAATATAATAATATTACCGCGATGTAATTATTGCAAATATGATGACCATGTTATACACATAATTTCATACACATGAATAATGATACACTTTTAATAGTGATATTCATTTCATTTATTATTTTTTTATCATTTTATATTTTATCTTTATTTCCTTTTTCATAAATTGTAACTCTTTATTTTATTATAATTTATTATATTATATTATATTTAATATAATTTATTTTATTATAATTCGTTAAAGTGAAATTGTGTAAAAAAATTTAGATTCACCAATAGATCCATTTTGAAAACCAAGAAATATAACTTTCCTATATTTTGTAATAATATATGATAAATGTTTAAACTAGCGATATTATGAAAGGCATACTTTTATTTGTAATAAACATACGTTATAAAATACAACGAATATTATGTCAATTCAGCACAAGTGCGTGCATTCGCATGACGATATTATAAAATATATTATGTATTGTATATATATACATGTATATCGATCGGAATCGATCACGTAAACATTTTATATATAAACATGTATAATTTATCCCATTTGTGTAAATAGATATAAACAGATTTTTTCATTAACGTACATTTTTCAAGTTAGTGAACATTACTAATATATTACAAACCAAACGTTTTAATTCGTTTAATTTAATTTTTATGTTTTGCATCAACAACCGATATCGCAATCCCTAAACTTTGAAAATTGAAAAACGAATTTAGACTAGGACTGTTGACAAAATTGTCTCCCTTAAGGCGTTTAAAGTACTCTATGTATTCTTTTACTTGATTTATACTTTTACAAAAGTAAATTCGCTTTAAAGATATACACTAAAGTCAAGAGTTACATCAATTGGAAGAATTGTGAATGTACAATTTCGGTAAACTTATTCTAAATCTTAAGTTTTCAAATATACAATGATGCTAGGGACGTATTACCAAAATTTAACATATGAGATACATGATAAGATAAACCTGACAAGGTATTTACTATTTCAGACATTATCCTGAATAGAAAAACATCTATTTATGCTTCCGCGTTAAAATTAAAGATACACCGTATCGTATTTGTTTTGTGTTATTTTTCTGCATTTTTAAACTCACAGCCATAGGCAGATAAAAAATATGATCATTCGCGAAATGTCGTCCATTAAGGCCTCTTACTCTTTTCAATATATAGAACTGCAGAGTTTTGTGGGTGTTCATTTATAGTCAGATCCAGTAAATTTAATCTCTTTCCTAGCTATCGTTTTGTAAATTGATAATAGACATACTAATGATCAATTTGAGATCATTGTATATGTTCATGCGCATTTTTTAAAGTTACTGTGTTATATAACAAAATGGATACAAAAAATGTAGATAATTATGGCCGCAATAGTTACCACAGAATTATTATCGTAAAACTAACAAAGAATAAATTATGTTCATCTAAATCTTATAACATCCTCAATCATAAGCATAAACAGTATGTGGTAATTCATTCTCCCGGTACATAAGATCTCTTCGATGATTGAAAATTGCTGATGTGAACAGTTTTCGATGTCGAAAAGAAATAAAATTGCTAATCACGGATTTGTAGTGTACGATCATATGAAAAAATGCATTATTTTAATCTGTAGCGTCCATTTGGAAAAGTGTTGTACGCTATAACATCGTTAAATTGACAATAATCGTACAGTGATCTATCGTGCAGTCTTTAGTTTCCAACGAAGGAATAAATAGGCAGCAATTCGAAGTACAACGAATATCAAAAGCAAGGCAAGGATATCAAGAGTGAAATCAGCATCAAGCATATCTAATTCCTCCAACGTTGTTTCTGGGTTTTTAAAGTGGCAGTACACCTGTAAATATATGGAATTTTATATGTATGTATATATGTGCATATATATGCATTGTTCTGAAGGAAAGTCAGATTTCTATAAATGCGTATTTTGTCAAAGTATCTAATAATAATTAATCTTATAAAGAATTTAATAAAAACAAACGAGGCACATCATACCTGGAAACATTTAAGCTTTTCTCTGCCAAAGGAATATGTGGCCAGAGCAGTCCCTTCAAAACCATATCTAATGTAGCTTAGATAGGTAATCCATCTAAGATATACTGGAATAGCGTCAAAGCTAACGAAAAAGCCAGAGAACAAAAGAAACGGTACAGACATGACCGGTGCCAAGAATACGCCGTTCTGAACATTCATTGCTGCACCAACTACTAGCCCAACCGATTGTGCAACGAAAGAAATAAGTAAACATGTTCCCAAGAACATACTGAATCGCATAATATCTGTTGGTTGACTTGTCATAAAGTACACAATCGTAACATACATAATGCAGAATATTGCCTGTAAAAAAGAAATAATATATAAATTTTCAGATGCGAAAAAGGAATACATAACTCCACAGAGTCAAGTCACATATATCCTGTTTTCTTACCTGAAATGGTATATCTGATATGGTAATTGCTAGATAGTAGGCCTTGAGAGAATACCACCTATTAAAATTTTCTTTTAAAAGCACTGGTAGTTCTAGGGGAACTGTAAGAAATAAAATTTTTTACAAATACTATTGTAATACAAAAGAAATAAAAGAACAAATAAAGCCAATATGACTCACAAGACAATATCGTAATGGTCATAGACGTATACATAAGAAACAGCATATTAAAAAATAAAAACCCAAGGTTGCTAAGTACTTTAGCACCATCATTCCCAATATCATAATAAAGTGCACCAATCAATAAACCTACTAAAATGTGAGCAAAAAGTCGAAGATACATAAGTGTCTAAAAAAGAAATAACATTAGAATTGTAAAATCTCTAATAACTCATGAGTCAGAGGAATGATCTTAAATAAATCAATTGATTAACTGAATTTTGATCAACTTACCCAATCTCTTCGACTAAAAAGTAAAGCTCGTTTTAAAACAATCCAGAACTGTTGACATTCCGATGTGGGGTATCTCTCTGGAGTGATTACAATCGATTCATCAAGTAAGGCTACTTCAGCATTATCCTTTTTCTCCATATCAACCGGTATCACTACATCTACTACATAAAAATAACGATTTATATAAAAGATATAATTGGTATATATTATTTAACCCTTATTACTTTAACAGGCAGTAATGCTGTCAAACATAAGTTAGCGTTTTACTCTAAAAAAGTGATAAGGGTTAATAATTTACTGGATTTCCTTATGAACCTTGTTTCGTAATATCGTTAGTTGCGTAAGATGGGATAATTCCTTTATTATTTATCTCCTTTATTTTATCCTCTTGAAACTTTTCTTCCAAATTATTAACATCATTTTTATCTTTCATTTCAACGTTTTCGTCACGACCTTCACCTTTCGAAAACGAATCGCTAGATACATTATTCAATCCTTCTGACTTATTTTCAGGGAATGGGTATCCTTCTCGAATATCATATTTTCCATTCTTTATAGCGTTCACCAGATTTCTGATGTTGTCACCATATTCTCCGCACGATACTTCGATAACTTAGAATTGAATTATAGTAATCAGCATCTTTAAAGAATCTAGAAATGCACTGATATTACAAATAGCTTACTGAAAGAGGCTGGATTGTGATAACTTGGGCAGTTGAGTCCGATATTTCTAAGGAATGGCACTAACTGCGACGTAGATCCCTGATATACACATTGTCCTTCGGCTAATGTGTATAGAGAGTCAAACATTTCGAATAGCCTAGCGCTGGGCTGATGGATGGTACATATTATTGTTCTTCCTCCTCGAGCTAAGGTTTTTAAGAGCGAAATGCATTGAAAACAAGATGAAGAGTCCAAACCACTGTAAATTGGTAAAACATATGACACTTATTATCAAGCAATATTTCGAATATTTCTAAAAAAAGGATTCGAATAGCTTTTTATTGGATTTTAGAACATTTATATACATGAACGATCTTGAATTGATCACTTTTTTCTTCCGACTTAATCACAGGGAAAAGAATTCCGGTAGACCTTCAAGAACCGGTTAAACGTCGGTTTAAGTTTTTTTTAAGTTTTAATTAATTGCATACTAAAGAATTTGTTTCATAGATCAGAGTGTGTTTTCATAGAAACAATATTGTTCAGCAAATATAAATAATAAAAGCGACTGACAGTTACAAATATAGCGTGTACAAAAGAATGGTATATGCGACGTCAGTGAAAGCGAGAAAGTAAAAAGTTTTAAAAACTTGTTATTTGCGTACTTTCTCTTACTTCATCCTTTCGTTTTGTCATTTAATGAAATTCGCTTATATATTTTTATCTTTTTTTTAATGCGTCACATTTGTGCATGTAATCATTAAACATTAGTAAATTATAATGAGTCTTAATACATTTTAGAATGTTAAGAAAACGAAAAAATGAAAATTACAAATAAGACAACGAAATTTATAGAAAAATCTCTAAAAATTTGCGAAGGTAATTCCCTGACACTGACCATGCTTTTATTTAAACGTTATATAAAGAGCAACGAGGATTCTCTGGTATTGATGATGGTGAAAGTGAAGCTATTTGCAGGTAAAAAAGCATATCTCTTTCTGGTATGGCACATATGTATTCGCATCCGAATAGATCAACATTTCAAAAACACATCTCCATTTTAAACCAGATTCTTTATCCTTTTAAATCACATTGTACAATATATTAGATACAATAAGATTTCCTTACCTAGTAGGTTCGTCGAAAAACATTATCGGAGGATTATTGACTAATTCAAGCGCAATAGAAAGCCGTTTTTTTTGTCCACCGCTCAAATTCGAAGTCATAGTTCGACGATGTTCGGATAGACCAAGTGTTTCTAGAATTTCTTGAATCTAATAAATACAAATGAATGATATCATCAGGAAATTCAACGTTCATTCTCAATCCTCCATTCAGTAATATAGCAGCAGTAATTCTCTTGTTATCTATAGACAAAATATTTAACGAACATACCACTTCTTCCTTTTCTGCTTGGCTTACATGTGACCCAAGTTTAAGGTTCGAAGCGACCTTCATAGCTTCAGCTACAGTTAAATTCGCATGAAGTTGATTATCTTGCATAATGTAGCATGATAATTTTCTAAAGGCACTAAAATTCCTTTCATGGCCATTCATTGTGATGCTTCCTTCGGTACCTGTTGATCTAAATAAACATCCAAAATATTTTGATGTTGAATA